CTGATTTTGGATAACTGCAGAATCTGAAAGGGACTGGAGATTCCAGGATGGGCCCAATCTCTATATCTTTACCCTTAGGTCTGTGCTCTCCAAGACACTCCCTACAGCATCTGATATCCGCTTGGAAACATGGACATACCGGGGGATACTGTTGTGCCCAACGTCGACCAGTGCAGCCCCCAAGGACACAGACAGCCGATGCAAGAACACAAAGGAGTTTATTACGGGCTCAAGTCCGGGCTCACGACATGCACCATGCAACGGCAGAGGTTGAGAGCCCCGAACAGAGGAAACAGGGGTCTTAAATAGGGTCACAAGCAGGCGCGAATTTTGAAATAAGCTGGCAATTACTCATTGGCTACTACAAAGGCATTTTGGCGCGCATGGTTATAGTTTCAAACTGATTGGACGGTTAGTGATGCTGTCCCATTTATGGATAGGACTGCCTCATTGGCAGCTGGGGTGGTCTGCTTTTTCGTCACCAAGTGGAGTGAGGGTTGTGACTGTTGAAACTATCTCCGGAATGCAGCTGTACAAGGACTAACATATCAAGGTGGAGGATATACAAAATGGCAAAACCTCGGCTAAGCTTGGTTCCACAGATACCATGCATCCTTCCTGATGGGGAAACTACAGACAGAGGCAGCGACTGCAAGCCCAGGAGAGGGGCCTCAATATTTTCGTTTTCATAGCAAAGTTGTTTTTTTTTTAAGATTTATTTTATTTATACAAGAGCCGGTGTACAGGCCATATGTGCAGGAGGGTGAGAGGACTCACCAGAGACAGAGCAGGGAACAGAACAGGCAGACTGACGAAATACACTGATGAGGGGAGCAGCAGACAAGACAGGAGAGGTCAGCTCGCAATGTGGGTTGCTCCGAGGCCGGCAGGGATCGAACCTGCACTGCAGAGGCTGTGGACAGCTTCACAGCACTGTGCTCAACTGCCTGCGCCACCAGGGAGGCCCGCAAAGTTGATTTTTTTAAACTGAATTTATAGTAACATTCACAAGCACAGATTTCACTTCTAACTTAATTAACTTCTAAAAGTTTTAGCTCAAGTGTAAGAATTAGATGTAAAATTGAATAGCTGAATTTCTACTTGAAGCATCCATAACACTGGTACAAAATGGGCATTATCTTAGCTATTTGCAGAATTGGCTAGTAGAGCCAACACATTAACAGCTACTGCTTCATATTAGTGTGTGCACATGAAATTCTCACTCAAAGATGAGTGAGAGGAATTTAGAAGTAGACATGTGTCCTGAATGGGTAAGTCTTTTTCAGAGTGACATGAATATGCATCTTCAAGTACCTGTGGATGCCTCTTCAACAGATTTCAATCTTCTTAGTTTTTGTTTTGTTTTGTTTTTAATATGGAGAGACCGAATGTAGAGACAATGGCCAGGTTAATAGTACTTTGACCCACAACCTCTGCAGTAATCAGCCCAAAGGTAAGTGGCTACCAGCTTCCATGTTTTTGCTGTTTCCAGCTCAGGATGAAACAGAGAAAGCCAAACATGCTTCCTAAAGTAAACACGTAAGATGTCCCACTTGACAGCCTGCTTCTTCCCCTGCCAACAGTCTCCTATCCAAGCACATCTGAAATTTTTTTTCAAAACAGAACTTTACCACACCCCTGTCTGCCTTTGAGTCTGCCAAACACAAGTGACTGTGGTTTCCTTGCTATATAGCAAGCTCGAACTAAATAGCTTCTTTTCTCATTTAAAGTCTGCATTTATTTCCACAACGCTGTCATTGATTTTGTGATGGATAACATCATCAATGGTGCCTAGAAAATGCTGACAAATATTTTGTGTGAGTTACTCTTCATCAATTTTCTTGAGAAATAGAAGTCCAGAACTTAATTGTCAGTCTTTGTCACCACAATATGTGGTCTTTTCTACCAGTCTTGAATTCTATGAACAATTGTTCATCTAATAAAATTGTCTTCCAGGTATTTCTAATTTTTCTAAACATTGATAAGGATTAGAGGTCACAGTAGAACCTGAAAAAGCCAGATTTTTATGCAGCATGCGAAAATAATTCCCATTTCATGTTTCAATTCCTCACCAAGGAAAGACAACCACTTGGAAACTTCACAAAGAAATGTATTAATCCAATAGCTATATATATATATATATATATATATATATATATATATATATATATATACACACACACAGAAGAATAAAGGTAGTGTGGATGGTAAGAAATACGTAGAGATTTGCTTTAGCTGTTACCATTTAAAACTGCTCTTTAAGTCTCTAAACATGTATGGATTTTTGCCAAGGGAAAATGTAAGAGGAAAAACCTATCTACCTTGTTTAAATACCTGTTTTTATTTTTCTTTCACTGACAGTATTTTTGTTTCAAAACAATACCCACTCTTAATGGGAAGAAGGGTTCAGTCTTCTGCTCCTGGTGACAGACAATTGTGCCCCTGGGCAGGTGCTTGCCACCCCAGCTCCCCTCTCAGTACAGAAAACATCTTCCCCGTCAATTATTCGTATTTCTTTTTTTTTAATAAATTTTATTTTTATATTACCCATACAATTGCAACCCCCTTATTTTGACTCCAATCCCTCCCCTACCCGCCCCCATCCCCCATAGAGTGTCTCTGGTTCATAGTTTTTTGTTGATTTTGATTTTCACTTTCTTATAGTTATTCATTTTCCTGGTCCCTTATTTAAGTTTTCTAGATTCCTGCTATGAGTGAGACCATCCGGTATTTTTCTTTTTCTTTCTGGCTTATTTCTCTGAGCATGATCCCTTCCAGTGCTATCCACGTTGCTGCAAATTGCATGTGTTTATCTTTTTTGAATGCTGAGTAATATTCGTATTTCTATAATGCCACAACCAAGCGTAGAGGCATGTACTAGCTTCTTAGGAGTTTCCCAACCATCTTTTTATTCTTAGGGGTAAGGGCTTTATTCATGATTTACACAGACTTTCTTGTGGGTTTTAGTGACATTTTCCTCCTGCTCCCCGGGCAAGCTTCATAAAAAGTTACTTTTTATCTTGAATGAGTCATTTAAGCAATAAGTTACCTGTGTGCCAATGAGAATAAAAGGTAGGTTTGTTTACAGAGGAGGGCTGAAAGAAGCATTTTATAAACAACTGGATTTTTCCAATTTAAGCAAATTTTTTTTTCTTTTCTTCAATTAAATATGTTAGAAAATTCTTTCATGCTGCTTTAAATCAGGGTTGTTCTGACACAAGATTTCATTATTCCAACTTCATGTCTATTTAGTGCCAACTGAAACTGGAGGTTGTTCAGGTCATTTGCACTAACATGAATCTAGATTTAGAACAATACTTTTAGTCAGTGACCATTATACAAAGAATGATTAGATGCAGTACGTGATGGAAAGCCTGAAGGAAAACAAAAAAACTAAAGGCAGCCATCATGAAGGATGGCCCCATTTCCAGCCTGGGTTTCTGTGTTCCCATTTTCTCCATCCTTTACTAGATGAATCTACCTGGGAATGGATACTACTGATCCTTTCTCCCTGCCCCCCCACCAATTTGATACCTGTTTTATTTGCCCATTTAATTGAATTTGTCACTTTTGTGGAAATGGAGAATTCTTTTTATAAAAGATTTCAAAACATACTTGCTTATATGACTTTAGTGTTATAATGATAGAATTTCAGTTATTTTTTTTCAGATACTTTCATATTCTCCTATCTGCAATCCCCAAATGGATCTGTACTCCTCCATTCATTAAGTATTTCTTGCATACCTACAGTATGCCAACCACTGTTTTAGGTGACAGATTGTAAGAGAATAATTTCATATGTCTCAACTTTAACAACTGGCTAACATTCGATTCCAACTGTTTAGTGACAGCTTTTTTACTTCCTCTGCATTTCCATTGTGCAATTTACCTCCTCTTGCCTTGCAAATACCACTGTGGTAGGTTGAGGAATGGCCCTAAAGATTCCTAGAATTTGTGAATGTTGCCTTCTGTGGCAAAAGGAATTCACAGATATGAGTATATTAAAAATTTTGAGATGGGGAGATTATCTTGGCTTATCTGGGTGGCCTTCAATGTAATCACAGGTGTTCTTATATAAGAGGCAGGAGATTTCACTACAGAAGAGGAGAAAGCAAGGAGACTACAGAACAAAGATTAGAGCAATGTGGCCACAGGTCAATGAATGCAGGCAGCCACCGGGAACAGATTCTCCCCTGGAACCTCCAAAAACCAGGTTTGTCAACACCATAATTTTAACCATTTATGGCTCATTTTGGACTTCTGTCCTCAAGAACTATAAGAGAATAAGTATCTATTGTGCTAAGTCACTGAATTTGTGGTAATTTTTAATAGCACCAATGGGAGACTGGTACAATTACAGATCTAGGTTTTGAGTATATTGTAACTTAAGAAGGTGAACTCAAGATCCCTCTAAAATCACTAATGTAATTCATGAGTTTGCAGTTTGGCAAATTTCCCCCAATGGTTAGCAAAAAGAAAAGCTCTTTTAATGGCATCAGTGACAAAAATTTTACTCTGAAAACTCTCTTTCTGGAGGGAGAACTACTGGATGAGTGAATTAATCCCCAAGGCTTTCCCAGGAGACCAGCAATGGAAGCATCTTGAGTTCATTGTGGTTTTTATGAACTGAAACTTTATTCCCATAATCTAGAAGCAAAAGTCAATGGAAACCAGCTTTCTAAGCTTTTTAATATAAATAAGTTCAAAATTCAGGGAAAATTCCTATATCTTAGAATTGGATTTGAAAACAGTAACAACTTAGTTATTATATGAAAAAAGGAAGCAGCTGGTAATGTAGTCAGAATAAGTACTCAATCTCCTTTACCTTCTATTTGCAAGAGATCAAAATATTTGCTAATTTTGTGGAAAGAGCATTAGAATATACAAAAAACCCCAAACCACTTTATATAGGTTATTTAAAATTTATTGAATTTCCTGTGCTCTTACAAATGTAACATTCTTGTATACAACATTCATTGAAGAGGCACAATTCTTATTTTGAGGTGGCACAAATTAGACCTTTTTTTCAGTGAATTTTTATTTTCATTAGGAAATTTAACTACAAGCTATTTTTGTCTGTAGAAAGTTGCTTGAAATTCTATACTTAATATATGATACAATTTAATTTTTCTATCTCAAAGAGCGTATGATAACAGTACATGGCTTCTGCCTTTACACCTTCAATTATAAGCAGAGAAATTTCACAGTGGAAGATTTTCAAAATTTTTTTTGGAAATATATTATTTTCAGGGAAGAAACTGACCTGGATGAAGAATATGCAGCTATCCCTGGTCAAAAAATTGCCAGACAGGTGATCAAGAATGAGCTTTACCTTGGAATTTCTCTATGGGGTTCCCTGCCAGACTGGACCCCATTAACCAATTTAAAAAATCCACTTAGAGACACTGCCCAGGTCCAGGAGGGGATGGAAAGGTAGGGTCAGGGGTGGGGTAGAGATACTTTCACATTCTCCTCAAAACAATCTCATCTTTTAGGTAATAGAGCTCTGCCCTTCCCACACTTGAACTCCTATCATAGCACTGGCATCAGGACAGAAGCCACGGAAGTGACAAGAACTCAAGCCAGGCAGAGCCTTACACAGAACACTGAGCTCTAGTCAGTTACTGGCTTTTGAACCAGACTTTCTCACCAACTACTGAATGAGAAAAACCCCAAACACCAAAGGCTGAGGCCAGGACAAAGATAAGGGAGGAGGTGATTAGGCTAGGGCAAGCTCAGATATTCCCCACTTCCCTTACAATTCCCTGGGTATGGAGGATGCTTTCTAAAACACAGATTCTAGGCCCACACCGTGATCTGCGCTCAGGGCTTTTGGAGGGGCTCTGCCTGTAAACCAAGACATCCCTTAGGCCCCTGCACCTGTCCTTACATCCCCAAGGAACATGAGAACCAGCCCCACCCAGGGAACCTACTTTTCCACCCCCGATTCCACTTCTCTGTTATTCATTCTTGCCTTTTCTTTTCATTAGCATTTAATGTCAATCATGCTCTATTGAGAGTTTCTGGAAATTTTTCTACTTCTGAGCAACAGGCAGTGAGGGTGGGCATTTGAGGAATCAGCTTTCCACTAGCACAGCCCCTAATGGCAGCTCAGTGACTAAGGATACTTCATTTCCATGTCTTTTCCTTAGGTTTAGCAACTTTGTTTCCAGATGCAGAGTGAAGGCAATAGAAGATATGGAAAAGCAGCTTTCTTGAGCACTGGGAGTTTCAATGTTTGTGACACAAGTGTGGCTGCCAAGGCAAATAAGAAGTAACTCTGCACAACAGCTTCCCTGGTCAAATCAGAACATCATTTCAAGAGCAGTCATTCTGGGTTCATATGACTTTGCAGTGATTCGTGACAAACAAGAGACACTTCCCAGGGCTTCCTCGGTGCTACCAGCAAATTCAGTGTTACTATTTTGGACCCACCAAAGAGGAAATGAATTCATTAACTTACAGGACCATTTTGACATGAAAACCAGTTTATTGTTTTCTAGGTATTTCAAAACTAAAATTTTTACTGGGCTACCAGAACTGTAGCTTAATGAGATCCTCCTTCTCATAAAATAGTATTATTTGATAGTGGACACTAGGGAAGTGACATGGGGGAATTTGGAGGCATATATCTAACCAAAATATATACAGCCTTCTAGAAAAATCCATATGCAACAATACAAGCCAATATACACATTTTAGAAAGTGAGTAAAGCAGATCAACAATTGTTTGGGGAGAGGAGGGAGGAGAGAGGCTGGAGACAGGAAGAGGAAGTCTGAAGGGGCAGGAGAAATGTTTGGTGATGATAGGTATGTTCCCTGTGGTAACAGTGTGGTGTAAAAGATGTATACATACATCCAAATGTATCAGATTGTACAGTTCATATTTGTAAAGCTTATTGTATGTCAGCTCAATAAAGCTTTTAACTAAGATTGAAATGGCTGGAAAAAAGTTTCTGGCAACTATTTTATTGCCTAAAGAATTAACTAGATGACAATAATTAAGAGGGCCAGGGAGTTAGGTGTCCAAGATAAAAGAATTGTTTCAGCGTTATTGTCTCTTTCAACAGCATGAAGAAATTCAGCTTTTTACCCTATTAGCTAAAAGAAACAGGTGAAATGGAAATAGGATTATACCTTTTCTGAATTCAATATTCTTTTCTCCACTATTGTCCTAATTTATATTTAGAAGGAAGGCATGATAAAAAGAATTCACAGAAAATAATGCATTGTTTTATGCTTTCCTATTGAGATAACTATTGAGAAACTAATAATATGTAGGTAGGAGGTACACTTTACTCCATGAACATTTAGTAGTGTTCCATGGGAAATTTAATGTAGTGGCTCCCATATCGCTATCACCTTGCAACTGTGCATAAATGGTGCATATTTTACAAGCAATGGCGCAGTGCAAAATAGACATGTTTATCCCTGTCCCTTACTAGACAAGGATCAGAAGGAAGGAAAAATGATTCAGGTTTGACAGCTGTTTTGGAAAACAAAAGGATGACTATGGCTGACAAGTAACTTCTTCACTGCCTGGTCACCTGAGTTGCCTATGTCATGGGGCTTCATTTGCTTAAGATGCTGGACGTGCTGGTTCATCACAGCAGTTTTTAAAAAAATTATTCGTTTTTAGATCTCATTTTCAGAAGAAGAATTAAAACTAAATTTTTTCTTAAACAATTTGTCACTTTCTTTAAAAGCAAAGGCTGCAGTAAAGATCTTACAATTCAGTATGCTTGTACAATTAGGTATTAAAGTTAAACAAAGTCAGATTTAACAATGATTCATGCAACGTACAGTTTAAATCAATCAATTTTACAAAAGAAATTCAGTGAAAACTTAGATCAAATCTGGTTTGACCTGCAGTATTTCTAAATGACTGGGAAGCTTTTTGAAAGAAAAAAAAAACAAACCCAAACATTTTAATTTTAGCTCCAATGAAATTTTTTATCTTTCCCCCCAAAAGAACATTTCTAGAGCACAAAATAGATTCATAATTGTTTAATTAGATACATTTTATATATCTGAAGATAATGGCTCCCATAGAAATAAACTAATACTTTGTACACAAACTTTATTTACTATGCCACATTCATAATATACCAACTCAAGCCAAGTGCAAACATTTATTACACCCCCTGGTATGTGTGGAGCTCCGCTCCCACAAACACTTCATTATCTAGGATGACAGAGAACAAGATTAGACAAGATGGATAATTAAAATCCACAAGGTAGTAACAAAAATGTACATTAGATTATGATTATAAACTCATCTCCATTCACAGCTGTAACCAGAACTAAGCAAAACAGTTTTATCAGTTTCCTCTTTAGCTCTGCCCCCCACTGCACCCTGGGGTGGGAGTTAAGGATTGATTAGTGGTATTGCTGAAAAACATGGGGCCAGAATAATCAAGAGGAGCAAAAGGCTTGGTAAACAGCCAACCTGGCATCCCTTGTTTTGAAAATCCCTCAGTTTCTTTATCCCAGAAAATACATTTGGCAATTTTTTCTCACATATAATTGACATGTAGTACTAAAAAGTATCTCAAATGAGGTTTACTTTTACAATTGCCTAGAAATTATGGGGTATTTTAGAGGAATCCATGAAAATAGTGACTTAATTTAAAAAAACCCAGTAAAATAGCAAAATCTGAGAGTAAATTTGCACCCTAGGTGACAGCATATGGAATCAAAATAATTAGTTTCTGGTTGGCTCCCACATGTCTGGCCTGTGCCATCGACCTGTTCAGTCTAGTCACATCTACAGGACCAATTTCACTTATTATTGCTGTCTTTAGTAGCCAACTCCAAAAGATGAAGGAGCTTAGCAATAACCATAGGTAAGTATAAAGACATAAGCCCTCCTCTAACCTAAGTCATTTTAGGGGAAAAATTGAGGAAAGTTCCCTTGAAATGAAAAGATTTATAAAATATTTGAAGAAATCAATCAGATTTTTCAAGAGTGAGCTAATATTTAGTCTCTCCTTTTGCTTTTTAAAGCCAGTCCCAAAAGCTCCAACATTATGTAGATGAAAATTCCAAACAAAAGAAGTCTCACAATTTCATAACCACCATATAAATAAAAAAGTAAAACCTAGGAGCATTGAGGAAGAGTTTTGTGAGTCAGCTACGATAAAAGTAGTAGCTAAAACTTAATTATCACTTGAACTGGAAATCTAATCAGGGTATCTGAAACTCAAAAGATTCTAAATTGGGAAATCATAAAATGTATTGATTTAAATTAATTTGATATTCTTCTCATCTCATCTTGAAATTCTAACCAGAGTTTCAGGTTAGCTCTGATCAACTTGCACCTAGTTCATTCATACAGCTTGAACTTATTAACTAGTCAAAGTCATCTCTATATGCTAATCTTTGAATCTACTAGCTAATCATCTCTACTACTAGGTGTAGCAGTTGATTCCCTGATGGACCTGGGTCCTCTTTCAGCTGCCTGATGTCTCACCTTCCCACTTTTGTACATGCAGTACCTATACTTGGCAGGATTCTTTTCTAATCTTTAGGCTAAATATCTTGAGAGTGTTCAGAGAAATGCTAATAAGTACAGAGATGGGCCACTTTAAATAGTGTTTAAAGCTTTACCAGTTGTGGGAAAAGACTCCTATGAGGATGGCAATATAATTCTAATTTAATTATAATTAAAATCAGAAGCATGTATCTCATTATGCAGATAAAAGGATGTCAAGATGAATGAGCAGAAAATGAATCAATAAAGGAAAAATTTTATTATTGTGGGGTAAGTCATCTACAGATTGAGGTGAAATAAAGGCATTGAAAAGCATAGGAGGGTGCCACTAAAGTGGAATGCTTGGGTCTGAAGATGCAGAAGGGAATTTAATTGAGAATGAAATTTCATTCTTAACCAATGGTACGTACATATAATGCATGGACTCAGATAAAAGGACGGTGGCATTTTAGGGTAACTACAACATTGCTCCACCTAGTGGACACTTCTGAGTTTCCCTTGGCTCTCAGCAGTTTTGGTTTGACAGTGTATTAGCCACAATAAGGAATGCTTTTTTGAGAAGTAACACCAAAATCAACACCGCATAACGAAATGTAAAATGTAGTGACCTTGTTATCAGAGCTTAAAATAACATTTAAAATCTGATGGTAAGAATCTAGAATAAAAACCTAACTAAGAATAAAATATATGTAATTTTATAATTTTCTAGGAAAATCTCTAAGGAGATTTTCAAAAAATATACAGGCATTTATATAGTCACCCACGTGCAGAAACTCAGGAATACTGATGCAAGTTTCCTACAAAAGTCTCTGTATATTAATGGGGGAAAACACAATTCTTGAAGTATGCAAAACATATTTCTGCAACCTTCCCCCGCCCCCTTTTTTTTTGTTGGGATGGAGCTTAAATTTTATATTTCTGCCAATAGCAAGGTAAATGCTTTATATGTGGTCATGTATCCTACTGAATCACTTGATGAAAATATAAAATATGACTTTGCATAGAACTCATTTAAACAATGCAAATTAGCTACTAGCATTCTTGCTTCTGTTCCCAGTGAAATTCCTCTAGTGCCAATGGGTTGGGCAGAAAATAGCGACTTGGGTTACACTATACTTCACTCAAAAATAGTTAATGCTTACATTACTCCTAAGCCCACACAGAAACAGAAATACCATCAGCTCTTTGTTACTTCCTTCCAAGATTTTAACACTGATGCCAAGTGTTCAAATCAAATACAGATTTTGCCAAATAACAGGGCACACTCTAAGGTTAGGTGGGAGAGGAAGGAGTGCGGGAACAGAACTTGAGGAACAATGTGAATACAGAGATCTACTTAGTGCACCTTTCCTTTTAGCCTCTGGACGTCCGAGATAGCAACCCATCCAGGTAAACTGATTGAAATAACGTGCATGTTGTTTACCTTTTCAATCCACTGAAGTTAGTCTCACAATTGCTCTGACCCTATAAAGTGAATCATGCTGGGATTCAAAAGACCTGTCCTTCACATAAACCTATGAGTACACATTTACAAAATGATTTATTGTACATCTTCGCATTTCTTAAGGCATGAACAATGGCGTACAGATGGAACAGGTTCTGAGAAGCATCACGTCTTTTTTGACAAGGCCAGCACAAGTACACCACATCTAACAGACACTCTGGAGATCTGAGCTGGCCGCCTGCCGTGGCCAGCAGCTCCTACGGTAAGGGGATAGTGCTTCCCGAAAAAGGACCGAACACGTGGTTTATGTCATGTTGCTTTACACTTTCTGGATCAGCTTTAAGCACCAGTTACAGTTCATTTTTTCTTTACAAACTCTTCAGACTTTGGGTTTTATATTCTGCTCCTTTTATTCTGCTTTTCGAGGAAGGTGTGGATGTTTTTAAGGAATATGGTTGCAGCAAAACAGAAAGGATCCGAAAGTGGTCAGGGGCCTTGTCTAATGCACTTCTGAAAGTCCATTATAAAGATGAATAGAAAAGCAAATGATCGGTTTTTAATTGACCCGGAAACCACGCGGAGCTCTAAGAAACATACTTGTGCATAGTTATTTATTCATTCAGAGCGTGATATGTTGGCTAGCTCTACATTCGTTTTACCAAAGAACAGGGCTGTCTACTTTGCTAAACCCAGGGTCCTTTCGCAGCTCCCAATAGGTGTCATTAGAAACCCAGGCTTCTCTTTGATTGGCATCAATCACTTTCCTGTGAAAACATAAAAATAATATCAAACACATATAATATCAAAATGACCTAACTGGACACTGTCCTGTAAATAAATGCATGCATAAGCTGTACTTGAAATCAGTTAGTGTCCTATCTGCTTTTTGATGACTTGACTCATTAGTCCAGAAACAAACTCATTTTTGCTGTTAAATGTTTGCAATGGAAGTGCGTAGGGTCATGGGGAGAGGAACCTCAGGCAGAAATAAATCATCTCCAGGTGTGAGGGGGAGTAAAGTGCCCCCAAGTAGTGTGCAGAAAGACTGCAACTAAAGCCTTCACCCCCAGACCCAGATCAATCTCCTTCACTTTTGGGGAGAAGCAAGTAACCCTAGTAACTTTAGGGACCGCTGCAGGATCTGTATGCAAAGAGCCCACTTTTGACATGTAAAGGGTTGCTCTTCAACCCAGGGAGGTCATGAGATGGAAACTATGAAGGATCTGAATGCTATTCTGTGCTGTTTTGTCCTGGTCAAGATGGCAGCAGATGATTTGGAAACTGCATATTAATTTGTGTGTTGTGTACATAATCCTGCAAATAATCCTGTAATAATCACACCACAACCAAATCTGGGTGACAAAAATAAAATTAAATACTAATGAAATTGGAATGACTTCTGTGGGCACAGGATCCCAGCCAGTCTCTGACGGAGGGAGTGGGAACAAGTTTCCACCATTCTAAAGGGTGTAGCTAAGGCCCAAGAGTGCTCTGGGCAAGAACACACACCTCTTTTTGCTGCCTCCACGAAAGAAAAAGAGTTGTTATGGGGAATTTATTTTTGCAACTATAATTTTTTTACAAGTACAAAATCGGATTCAGTATCTCACTGCCAAAACCAAAGTTACCAACATCAGTTTAATTTTTCTAATCTTCACATTCCCTGGACTCAAAATGAGCCTTCATTTTCTTTTTTACCTGGAGTTTCTCATTGCTTGTGCCAACCATTTGCAACATGTGAATGTGTTATAGGAATGAACTGACTTACTTAAAAAATTTTGGTATATGTTCAAGGTTGTTTTCTTCCATGTATCGTCTTCGAGATCTCTGGAGTTCTTCTACTCTTTGCTTTTCTGCCGCTGCAGCTTCTAAATTTCCTTCTTCCAAAAATCTAAGCAGAATGCAGTTATTAATCTTTTTGTCCATCATCTTCTTCTCAGAGAAAAAGATAATCTCAAAAGGATAAAATGACTTTCTGGCTGCTGTGAACATAACAGAGTAAACAGCACTGCCCTGATAATAGCCCTTCACCCCTGCCCCAGTCTACACTGCCTCTGCCGGCCCATCAGTGAATATACTTTTAGTGCAAGTGAACTGAGTTATCATGAAAAACATGAGAATGAAGGCTAGGGGTAAGGGGAGAGTGATTTGGTTTTGGGGTCTACAACTTGGTATTTTCAGGAAGACTGGAGAGTCCAGGGTTACACAGCTGGGCATCCCAAGTCATCCTTTTCCATATTCTCAAAAAGTACTTGTTAAATGTTAGCGAATGGAGGATGGTAACTGGCTGTTCTCCACCTATTTTTAGAACAGACTGAGAGGGGAGGAGTTTTCCTGTTTTGTGGGAGAGAGTAAAACTGAGGAAAAAAGGAAAAGGTAACAGCTGGGGAACATTACACAATGCCATAGGAAGGAAATGAATAGTAAATGAAACTCAGAAAGCGAATATTGAAATAGTATTGAGAAAGAAAAAGCAGACCCAACAATGATTTGCAAATATTTAAATTTCAAAGTAGAATAAAGTATAGGGTTACAATATGATATGCATTTTAGAGGCTGTGTATTGATAAATTTGAATGTCAAACAGTGAGACTACATGTTCCAGAGAGAGGGAGGGGTATAAGAGAATTAAATAGTAGAACATTCAATGCTGGGAATAGTTTGGCAGAAGATAGATAAAACCACAAAGGCACTGGAAAGTGAAAACCATCTTGGATGGCATTGTATGGCATGTATAATGTTGGAAAAAGTAAAATAAATTCTGTAAGGATAGTCAGTGTGGGTACAGAACTGTGTAAGTATTTTATTTTATTTGTTTTTTTAATCTATTTATGCATACAAGAACTGAGGTGTAGGCCAGAGGTATGGGGAATGAGAAGATTCACCAGAGACAGAATGGGGAGCAGAACAGGTGGATCTACTGAAATACACTGCTGAGTGGAGCAGTGGGCGAAACGGGAGAGGTCTGCTGAGGCCCAAAGAATAATTTTAAAAAAGAACCAGAAGGTATGAAAAGTGCTGTATTATGAGTCCATCTCATACTCTGTATGAGATCAAAATTATATTGGGCAAACTCCAGGTTATGACCCCAAGCATTTCCAGGTGTCCCTATAATTTATCCTCTTATTTTTCAGTTTAAAAGATACTTTGTGTTACAGAATAATAGCAATAAAGCGGTAAAAACACTTGGTGAGAAGTGATTCTGCATGTAGCAGAAAGAGAATTCATGACTTTGCAGGCATTTGGAAAATTCTGGGTTGGGGCTGGGACAAAGCTTTTTGTTGAAAAACATCTATGGGGATCTTTTTGTTGAGCTATTCTTATGATTATCTGGATACTGCTCTACCTGGTGTAGAAGACTCAACTACTGCTGAGTCAATAGAGAAATAAATGAATGGTTCAATGAATAAATAAGTGATAGTGGTGAAAAGGTCCCAAGTACATGTGCAAGGCCATGTCACGATCTAGTGTCCATCTTAAATACTACTGTCATGCTCACCTTTGATCTGGTCGGAATCGAGCATCTGTCGGTGGAAGGAGATCTTTTAGTACAGGATCTAACTCATTGAGTTCAATCGCAAACCTTGTGAAGCCATAGTAGAGCTCATAGTTGGTTGGCATGGAACCTGGAATGAGGCCAACAAAGGACTCTTAAAAGCAAAAAAGGGTTAGGGAACTTACAGAAGCTGACTCAACCCTGGTGCCTGATTAACATTTATAGTCATGAACATTAGATTATGAATTTTTATATATTTTTTTAGGTTATGAATTTTAAAGTGAATTAAATTGGTTATATTTTGCTAGAAGGGAAACTTTATGTTAATGATCAGAACAGATAGATATATATATTTAATAAAACCCAGACTTTAAAGTAAAATTTTATACACATAGTAATCTTCACTGGCTAAACTATATCATAATTTTTCTTTCAAATATTTAACCAAGAAACTACACACCAGGGTGATTAACTACAGACATTAAGATTTCATCAGAAATGCAAACTACTTCCATTTGGAAAAGAAAAACATGCAGAACTAAATTAGTATTTATTGGCACTTTAAAACTAAACTCAAAGGCAGGATCTTTGTATATTCTGTTCATTGATATATTTTAAGTTCCTAGGGCAAAGTCTGATGCATAGTCAGTAAATATTCGACCAATAACTGCTGAATGAATGAACTAACCACTATACTAGCAGGAAATTTAAATGCTCACTGAGGTCTCTTAGGAAACCAACAACTAAATTTAAAGTCAGGGATTAACTGACAAAATTCCAATGAAAATGAATGTCATTTGAGACATTTCATTTACACTTGATATTCAATTACATGCTAGTGTATCACCAGAAATCTCTTGGTGTCTTTTATTAAATGCCAACATATTGCAGCTTTTGTTGCTCAACTGAAAAGATTATTTTTTTCTGCTAAGATATTGAATTTTTGGATTATAGCTGTTTGCAGGCTTTCCTTGGTTTACTGAAACCGAGCATAAATGAGTAAGGACTTAAGTTGGTATATTTCAATTATCCAAACTCTTTAATGAATACACCTAACTTTTGAAATGTAAAGATTACATTTACAGTGATTTTACATGAAGTTCAATTTCCGATGTCATGTCTGAGATTTGGCCTAAAATTTACAACTCCATATTATCAGAGATCAAATATTGGGACTTTACATAACATACATGTTAAGTATAAATATAACTTACTTTAAGTGCTTCAAGTATCCTTGTTTTCAATTTCAGTATTAAATAATACATTCCTTTTTTTAGCAGTACATCAAAATTTTTTCAAATAATTTTCTTACATAACTGTTAATTTTTGGACAGTACTTGATTTCTTCCCACATCCCTGTAGTTCTCCCACCATCACAGCACCGGTGAACCATCACTATAGTCCCTTGTACTCTTCCATCTTCTGTTTTGACCCCTCTTCCTTCCCTGACCTGCTGTATGCTTCAGATCTGTGGTCAGCTTGCAAGTTTTGTCTTTTTCCTGACCCTTCATTCAGTTTCTCTATATTCCACATATAAGTAAAATCATCTGGTATTTCTCTCTTTCCTTCTGACTTTAAATAAAACATTCTTCATGAAGTATATGCACACCCACACGACAGTCCCTTCTCTCTGCCACTTGCCATGTCCTCCAAGGCCTGACACTCATGCTGGTCTCACCTGGTCTCCAGATGCACTTTGCAGAGGGAGCCACGCCACAGTAGAGCCCTTCATGCCACTTCCCAAACAACCGGTGCACCACCTTCCCCTCCTGATCTATTACGACTCCCTGGACTTCATTCACATTAGAATTCCAATAATTCACCTGAAACAACCAAATTCCAATTAAAACACCTGATCTCTAATAATATTAATCATGATCATTTCCATGTGGAAAATTTTCTTGACTCTGAAGTTTCTCATTCAAATCCTATCTAGTAATCTGTCTCAAAATGTTTAATAGGTGGACTGTTGGCTTTCTAAGTGCTTGTCAGCTTAACTGATAAGAAAGGGAGGCTCTCTAGGCCTGTTCTAGCATGGAAGTATAACCCAGAAAAGGTTTGGTTTCTATTTTAATAATCCACAATTAATTTATAGGCTAGTCATTTCTTCCTCAGATCTTCCTGTCTCAAATTTTCCCTTTACTCATGGATTTTAGTGAAGTTTAATAGGTCCTCCTTTAGAAGGAGTCTGTGAAATAATTTTCACAATATCTGGAACTGGCTAACTTTTATCATGAGGATCCCTCTTCTAGCTGTGCTGCTCCCCAAGGGGTGATAAGTCTGGGAATTTACGTACCTGGATTCCACATTCCTTTCCAAAATCCAAGTAGGCCAAACCCCAGATTTCCCTGTTCATGTGAGTCTAAGCTGATGCCACAGCCCACACAGGCCTTGTCCTTAGATTTGTCCACCCAAGGACAGGCCAGTGCACTCATATTTAAGCTCAAGGTGGCCGGCTGAGGTCACTGTGGCAGGAGGTTGGACATGTGGGCTGGACTGGCTAGGTTAGTGTGTGTGAGGCCCATCGAAGTGCAGGACAGAGCTGGTGATGGAAAGAAGGTGGCAGGCTGTGGGCCAGGACTGATTCTCCTGCATTCCAGGTTTCCAGGCCTTGATGGTTTTGTTATAAAAGGTATATTTGTCAAGGCGAAAGGATAGAATATTTTATTTGACGGTTTTTATGCCTGATTTATAGATCTTAAATATTTACACATATGATATGGGGATGTCTGTTTTTACCCTTGCCCTGAGCTCTGCAAATGTTAGGAGCACACCTCATGGCCTATAAAACTAAATGTACACATTTACTATCATTACATAGTCCAAGCAAATAATAATCCTGGCTCTTCAATTCTGAGTTACCCTAATAAGTCCATAAGAAAAAAAGGAAAAGAAAAGAATCTAGAGGTAAAATATTCAATTAAAACTTGGGCCTCCCTGGTGGTGCAAGGGGTTGAGTCTCAGCAGTATGAAGCTATCAGCAGCCACTGACGTCTGAGTTCCATCCCCAGCTTCCATCCCCAGGGAGCTAACCCACATAGTGCAGCAAACCTCTTCTGTCTTGCCTGCTGCTCCCTTCAGCAGTGTATTTCAGTAGATCAGCCTTCTCTGCTCCCCACTCTGTCTCTGGTGAATCCTCTCAACCCCTAAACTTCTGGCCTACACCCCAGTTCTTGGATGCATAAATAAAATAAATCTTAAAAAAACAAAACAAAACAATGAACATGACCTTCCAATATGAGTTAGGAGGGTTTGACTAAGAAGAGAAAATTTTGAGTTTTAAGACCAATATGTTACTCGTTTATGCCATATTAGAATAAGGCCAGAAGAAAAACGATAAAGGGAATGGGTAGAGTTCAATACCATGATGACTTCTATACCACCCCTAAGTAAACATGGAGGTGAGAGTGTACTCAAGTCCTCAAATAACGTCATGTTGTTCAGCATTGTCTTGTTATAACACGGAGAAGATAAAAATAAATTGATTCCTGGCCATGGCCACAGTCTAAATGGAGTTCACAGGTTCTTCCCATGTCTGTGTGGAGTTTTCTCTGGCTATGTCTGTTCCCTCCCACATTCCAAAGATGTGCATGTGAGGTCCACTGGCAGGTCTCGATGGTCCCAGTGGGTGTGTGTACGAGTGTGCCCTGTGATGGGAGGCTTGTTCCGGCAATGGGCCCTAAGCTGCCAGGATAAGTTCTAGTCACCCTGACCCTGAACTCGAAAAAGTGGGCTGAAAGAAAAGTGAGTCAATACAATTTATGTTTAATATTAAAAGTATTTTTGGGTTTTTACCTAGAAGTTTGGTGATGCTTTTATGACCAGAAGTGTGTCAGAGCACTTAATTCTTACTTGTATTTATTAGACTCTGCTAAAACTGGTTTTATTCTATATCATCTTGCTTAAAATTGCAGTTTTCAAGAACCTATTGACAACTTACCACATGTTCCACTTCAGATCAGAGAGACTGAAGGATAATGGCGGTTTGTAGATATTTCTATCCTGACATCTTTTCTTATTAGAAAGATAATGCTTTTTAGCACTGTTTACAATAGCTAAGCTTTGGAAACAGCCCAAATGCCCAAAAATAGATGACTGGATCAAGAAGATGTGGTACATATATACCATGGAATATTACTCAGCATTCAAAAAAGATAAACACATGCAATTTGCAGCAACATGGATGACGCTGGAAGGGATCATGCTCAGTGAAATAAGCCAAAAAGAAAAAGAAAAATACCGGATGGTCTCACTCATAGCAGGGATCTAGAAAACTTAAATAAGGGACCAGGAAAATGAATAAATATAAGAAAGTGAAAATCAAAATCAACAAAAACTATGAACCAGAGACACTTTTTGGGGGGTGGGGGGCGGGAGGGGAGGGATTGGGGTCAGAATGGGGGGATTGCAATTGTATGGGGAATATAAAAATAAAATTTATTAATTAAAAAAAAAAGAAAAATAAATAATGAAAAAAAAAGAAAAAAGAAAAAAGAAAGATAATGCTTTTTGTTGAAATGAGAGTTGGATAAACATATAGTGAGTACTAGATGTCATCCTTGCATTCCCAGAATATGACAACTATAATTAGTTCCCTAAAATAAGATCAGTTGCTTATGTTCTAATCAAGCAGAAATAGAAACATAGCTCAGAAAACTTAGACAAGAAGTGTTTTCTGGAATTTTCCTTAATGAACTGGCTAGCTGCTAAAAAAGAATATTCTTTAAAAACAATTTTTTTCTGTTATGAGATGTTGCCTTTTTTTAACTTTATAAGTTCAGAAGCCCGTCTGACTCCATCAGTTGGTTCTGCTTTCTTATCTAAAATGTCCTTAAGAACCAATAATACAGGACAGACTTACTATTGTTTATAGTAATTGTTTTAATTTTCCCTGGGAACACCTTATACTATTTTTCCTTTACTGTTGTAAGATATTATTTACCTTGACAAATGTGAGTTTGCAAATGCAAACACTGCTTTTAGTATTTCTAATGGTTATTTCTCCATAATGCTCTATCCATCTCCTCCCACTGAGAATGTTGTGTATGCACGTGGTTACTTTATTCCACACATAGCAATCTCCATACCTGGTGAAGAATACAATATTAATTAAAAACAACAAAGGAACGTCACAAACACTACTATTGCTACTAATGAGAACATTTTTTTGGCCAAAGCTTCCTTTCCCCTCATTTCCCTCTCATTTCCTTGTTGAAAGTTTCTAGGTAGTCAGGAATACTTATTACATGATTCATTCATTTAAGGGACATTTCACTGTTTTCTATGGCTCAGGTGCTACCACTTATAACTGTATGGAAAAGAAGTGTCTAAAAAAGAGAGCCTTTCATATAAAATGGAAGCCAGTGTAGTGACTAGAAGAGGTCGGTGTCTGGGGTTGACTGATGAACAGAGGCTGTGAAGACAGAGGTAGGGAGCTGTGAGGCATCTGCTAAAGGTCTCCTGGCTTTGGTTGGGATCCATTCTCAGAACATTAGTGAAGTTAAGAGAAGCTCTGGTCAGATAGGGAAATGGCCATAGGCACCTTCTAGAGTTTCAAATATTCATTTCTGATTTAGAAAAGCAGATAAGAGATAAGATGCAAGTAACCTACCTTGGAAGCATGACATTCAGTGTTCCAACAGGCAGGATTTCCATCGACTTCCCCCAGAACTTGTTTTTCCATCTGATATCTAAATGACATAGGTGGGAGTCTAGAATCATATACTCCATATCTAATCATTTGTTCTATAAAAACTAATTTTTGTATTATACTTTACATCTCACAATGAACTTTTGTGATCACAATTGATTCTACATTATTGATTTAACCTGAAAAAATATTTTCCATGCAACTTTCTCCTTAATATATGCTGCATATTTATTTTCAATTAAAAAAAAATTGTTGTGCCCAGCGTTGACCAGTGCAGCCCCCAAGGACACACAGACAACCGCTGTGAGAACACAAAGGAGTTTATTACAGGCTCGAGACCGGGCCCTCGACACGCACCAATGTAATGGCGGAGGTCGGGAGCCCTGAACAAAGGGAACAGGGATCTTATATAGGCGTACAAGTAGATTTCTAAAAATTAAAGCATGTTGGCAATCATTCATTAGTTACATAGGCACATCATTCATTGATTACACAGGTGCATTCATTAACAACGGTGGGTACACAGTTATTTTATGGCTAGTTTGACCCCATTAGTGGCCTGCATTGCTCGGTTCTATTTTATGGCCAGTTAGACCCATTACTCGGCTCCGCTGTGGCTGGTCATCTGAGATAAGACCAGAGTGGAGTGAGGGTCATAAACCCTCTTTGGAATGCAGGCTATTTAGTCTTGAGTAAGCAAAACTTGAAATACTAAGATGGTGGTTATACACAAGATGGAGGAATAGTTGCTAAGTCTCACAAAAATGGGAAAAGCCTGAAGTAATATGTCTGTGTATAGTTCATTTTCACATACAAATATACTCTACTGTGCTTTAATGTCTAGATAAATGTTCTAAATTTTAGCTAGATGGTGGAAGATATATATATATATATATATATATACACAAAAAAAATGAGGTATATAGGATAATCAGTATATGGCAATCCCATCATTTATATACACATATTTATTCAAAGAATTATAGCATTTAGAAGACCATTAAAAAAAATCTCTAAAGCAGACAAAATTTATGAGAAGGGGTGATTAACTTAATGAACATGTTCTTATACAGTTGTTAAGATAAGGCCCAGCACCTCAACTCACATGATGGGCTTCATCTTATACTTGTGGAAACTCAGATTTACCTGTGTTTTTGTAATAATTGCCAGGATCACATTTGGATGAATTAAGGGAGTTTAGTCCTATCTCCACAAAATTTCTGATTCTGTGTCATAACCAAGAAATGATTCATTTTCTTATTTTGTAAAATTGCAGTTACAATGCTCTATTGTGTGTATTTCTAGGTTGAGAACAGTCACTATGTGAGCAATGAAACACCTTCCAAATGAAATAGAAGAACTATTTCTACTTAATGGTCCACTTTACAGATGTATTTTTTTTTTCTTTCTAGAGAGGTACAGGACCTTTTTATTTTAGACAAGTTTGTAATACTGTGGCTGAACAATAGACACTGATGAAGTGGAGACTCAGATTTAATTCTCTGAGCTTCAATGAGTTAAAGACCAAATCACCACAAGGAAACTAACCATAAGTGGTATGCCATAAAAGGGCCTTCCGGATCAAGAGCTCATTGCTCACCTTTAAGAAGCAAGAAGGTTACAGCTACAATCTCCATTTACAGATGCAAACAATGAAGCACAAACAGGTTAAGTGCTAACCTACTTTTGCTGCCCTGAAGGCTTTGCATCTCATCTCCTAGATGGCATGGCTTGATATTTATTTCTTATTGTATTTAAAAAGCATGTATGGCTTTACCATACATATTTAAACCGGGAGATATAATTTCTCACACTGAACTCCATGCCAATTACCAATATCATCTGACTTCTAAAGGTATAATGTGAACTGAAGACAATGTACCTTTGGAAACTAAAAACTTTTTCGTAGGTCCATAGATGGAGTTTTGAGTTATAACTGAAATACAAACCTTGCCAGAACACAAAATTCTTGGATTCACAGTGACAGGCAGAAATGGGTGGATGATGGCTAACCTGGTAGTTAAAACATAAAAAGGAGGCAATGACATCAGTGTTAAAACTTCTACATGAATGATAATTATTTTACACTACACGTTGGGTGTCCTCAAAAAACTACTCAACTCACTCATGTCTATTAGTGAATTATTCTTAAAACAAGTTACTGGAGCTTTAATTTTTAAGATTTCAAACATAGAAGGCCATTATATAAATAAGCTTAGTGAGTTTCCTGTAACTGGTATTCTAACTTACCCCAAGATGTTTATCAAGAAACTATTTTCATCACCAAACTGCTTTTCTACTACATAGAAACTTCAATGAGTGCAGTGGTACTTACCTGTTCAGAGAAAAATCGAAATCCCTTGTCCTCTCTAATGCATTCATAAGTCTCCCCAAGGACAGGGTTGAATGGCTTACTTCCTGCTCTGAAATAGGTAGAGCAATATCCTGAAACTGCAAATGCAGCAATAAGAACCTGTTAAAACATTTAAGAAAGGAAAATAATATAGGAGAGACTACTTCCAGGTCTGTTTGCCCCTTATTCCTCTCGATTTCACACACCCCCAACAAGGGGGTGTGAATTGATGACATCTGCATTGTCTGTTATTCACACAGACTCTTCATAAACCCACAGAAAAAAAAATAAGGGAAAATGAGGTTAAACTCTGGGTGGGAACCAGCATGCAACTGAGACCTAGTATCTCCATTCAACTTCCTTAGTATCACTGGGTTAAAAGGTTCTGAAACCCCACTTAAAGATTATGCCATTTGCAAAACTTAGCACCATGTGCAAGAGAGTTGTGGCTGCCGGTGCTTTTCAGGGGTTGAGTGTCCCACAGTCACATGGAAAAGAGGACAGGGCTATGCACAAACACAGAGGGTTACTTAAGGAATGTCTAACTCCATAAGATATCACCTGGATACCTTTCCTTCCTAACTTCAGAAACCAGGGTAAGCCACCAAGTTTGTATTTTTTAATAGAGGTATCTGGACCTTTTTGGCCCTTCCTGATTTACGCAGAAGGACTGATTCTTCTCACCTACGCAGTGAGAATGCTATGCACAAACCAATATGCTATCATAATGAATCCTGGCTTAGCCCACGCCCAGGGCTGACAAATCCAAGGGCACTACTCTGTCCTTTATTACCATGCGTTCGTAGGGATCATCAGTTTCTGAAGCCTTGTCCAGGAGCTCACTGTATTCAATTTCCTCACAGAGATGTTGCAGAGTGTTGAGTGGCTCGTTCAGCTCCACAGGCATAGAGACTTTAGATAGGTCTTTACCAATGTTGTTCCTCAAGATATTCCACAAGTTAATATTACTGGTATCAGGACAGGGGGCTGGTAGGCATGTTCGACGTCCATTTCGGAAGGCCCCTCCTGTCAGTTCCCCATTCAAGACTGAAAGAGGGAGAAAAACGAGAATCACCATGAAAGAGACCTTGGCTTTTCTTATTTCATAAAACCTGGAAGTGAAATAACTTCTCATTTCAAATAATCTGATTGTGATACATTTCTTAGGTCTTCATTCTACTCTCAGGGGTGAACAGAATTATTTTCATACAAGATTGCTAACAAATGAACAAAACAAGCATATATAGTTTTTTTTTAAACATAAGCTATAACTATACTCAAATATTACTCAAAAGATAAGTCAAATAAAAATATGTACATATATTTAATAAGAAGGACTTGAATTTTCATTAGAATAGTAAGTACAATCTTTTCACTCAATCATCTAACTAATAGAGTTTTCAATCACTTACCTCAACAGATTATGCAAATAAAAATTTACTGAACAATCAGCTGCAAAAGAACAATCAGTGGAGAGGGCTGGGGGTGGGGGGCAGGTGGCTGTTCAGTGATTACAAGACAAGATTTAGTTTCATAATTTGGCATGTACAGAGAACAACCTGGAAACACATACTTTGCCGAGAAATGTTGTCTGCAACACTGGTGTTGTCTTCAGAAATATTATCACTCACGTCGCTGATGTAAGACTCATCATCTGACGCCTAAAGAAGAGAAGAACATACAAAGGATCAGAACTATTGCTTGGTTGTCAGAGGGGAAGAAAAACAAATGGTTAAAAACAACAAGATGTTGCCAAACGAGAAGCAGTGCTCACAGGGGGAAATGTGTTTGACATACGTGCTACGAACTCTTGAGGGCCTTCTGCAAACCAGAACACAGACGGCTAGAAAGCAGCCCGTCTTTCAGCAGCTCCAAGTCATAGTTGGAGAGGGAGGTTGGGGGAGGCCAATATATAACCAGAAATAATTCAGTGTGATGCAGTAGGAATGTACATTAAGGGTGCCCAGAGTAAATAATATTTGAACTGGGTGTTGGAGAAAGTAAGAGTTGCCCAGTCACCAGAGGGGAAGGAAAACAGGAAGGAAAGTGTGCACTAGCAAGGGCCACTCAAGAACCATTTCTTCTAGGAATGATAAGAATGTGAAGGGACTTAATCTTCTTTTGCTTATGCAATGAGAACATGATGCACAAACCAAATGTGCCACCATAACACAAAGGTAAGTCCCTTGACTGCAGTAGGACTTACCTGTGCAGTAAGTGTGACAAAGGTGGCACACAAAGAGAGGGTCTGACTGAAAAGCTTTTCACATCAACATAAAGGTTTCACATATAATCCTATGAATTTTATATGCAAGGGATCAGGTTGAGTTTTTAGGAAGATACTTGGCAGCTTCCCCAGGAAAGTGAGATAATCAGATATTAATTAAATCTGGATAAGAAATACCCTGACAGCTTTGATTAAGATGGCCATGTGAGGATATGGAGGTAAAGCGCCATGTAAGAGCCTTGTCTGATGTATAATAAATAGAATCTGGCACCTTATCTGGAGATGGGGGGAGGAAGACTCAGGAGCAAGGAGAAATCAAAGATTAAGTGTGAAAAAAAATGTGAAACCAAAATTGGCGTGAAAATAAAATTCAGGGGCAAGACTTGTACTAAGAGGAGTTAGAAATGGAGCAGATGAGAAAACAAAGGAGTATGGTAGAGCCATTCAGAGGAATGGGGAAAAACCAATGTCTCCCCTGCAGGCAAGAAAGTTGTGGACATCTATCCACTTTCTTTAAAAGGGAAAATAGCATTCTATATATTTTTCTGAACATGAAATAAAGTATTCCTGTTGTAAAAAGTTAGAAATGATCTGCTGGCAGGTGATATGAAAATCACCCTTAATCCCATCACTTAAAGGAAACCACTTTTGGCCTCCCCGGTGGCGCAGCGGTTGAGCGCTGGGTTGCGAAGCTGCCCGCGGCCTCTGCGGCGCTGGTTCGATCCCCGGCTGCTCCCCGGCCACCGGAGGAAGATCCCACATGGTGCGCAGACCTCTCCTGCCACCCGCTGCTCCCCTCAGCAGTGTACTTCAGCCCCTCTGCCTGCTCTGCTCCCCGCTCTGGCTCTGGTGAATTCTCTCACCCTCCCGCGCTTCTGACTGTACCCAGTGCATGTATAAACAAAACAAACAAATATAATAAATAAATAAATAAAACATGCCTCTATAAAAAAAAAAAAAAAAAGATCATTTAAAAAAAAAAAAAAAAAAAAAAAAAAGGAAACCACTTTTAACAATCAGTTATTTGGTGATTCCCCTCAATTTCAAAACACATATACAAACATAATGACAATCCATCTTTACATACTAAAAATAGATCAATTGACATGTTTTATAGAGTTCTGAGTACATTTCCACTTTAACAATCTTTATTTGCAATGGCAATGTGTTCACTATACAGTTATGACACAAAGACAACAAATGAGAGTTGAGAAGAGTTCTTATATTTTAGGGAGACAGAATGTTTGCATGCATAAAGAATACCAGAAGTCTTCATGAGCAAGTCTGTAATGATGGCAAAAGATGAATAAAGTCATCTTGCAATGGCTATTTTTCCCACTGTAAATGGTTTCCAGTTTCCACTGACAGCAGCAGAGTGAAAAGTTAAACTAGCAGGCTCATGAGAGCCACCTTCCTTAGCTTGGTAGAAAAAAGATGTAATTTTTTCCCCACTCGATTGATAGGATTTCTCTGCACAAAGTTCACACCCAATTATGTCTAACCTGCCTGACAGAAACTCATGTTGCATGCATGTATATTTTCTGAATATTTATTAAGAAAACACTCATTTATCCTATAAAAATATATACAGCCTATTCCAATTTAATTTCTAAGCTTGCTCAAACTAATGTATGATAGAAATGGTGCTATACCCCTGCCCATATAATGGTTTGTGTAGATGTGAAGGAACTCTACAATCTCAGTGCACCTCGAGTGAGATCTATATTAGCAGGTGTGAGCAGTAGCTGAGGCTGGGATCTGAGAGTATTCAGGTGACAGAAGCCACACAAGGGAAGTGCCCTTGGCATTCAGTGTAAACACTTGGGGACAAAAACACTTAGATAAACATGGGTATGTTTGTGTGTTGTTGTTTTTCCACATGAGCGTGTTGTTTTTCCACATGAGTGTTTTGTTTTTCTACGTGAGACAGAGAGAGAGAGAGAGAGAGAGAGAGAGAGAGAGAGAGAGAGAGAGAGAGAGAGTGTGTGTGTGTGTGTGTGTGTGTGTGTGTATAAGAGGTTTGTCAATTAATTCATTTTATGGAGACACACTGAGTTAGAGGTTCAGTGCAGCACCCAGGTAACAATGCTATGTGGACCCTGAGCCAACTCTCATTCTCTTTAGACCTGCTCTCTTTTAGTTTTAGATGCGAGTATTTAAATGCTCACCAGATAATTCCATCGAGTGGTCTGATAAACCCACAATGCCTCAAATTGAATGTACCTTCTCCATGCACCCCTGCCCTCTACTTCCTCATCACCTCTCCACTACAAAATTCACTCTTCTCTTGAGGGTGGCTCCACCATCTTGCTTGGACTCATGCAACAATCTGCTCCATGTTCTCTTCATTCCTCTATTAGCAGAGTCTGGTGCAAGAAGCCTGAGTGTGCCCAAGAACTTAGAAACAGGGAAATTAGATTGCTTTCAGAACACTAAGTTATAGTGCCATCAGTTGATGGATCAACAAATGATAATGAGTTCAGATGATGTAAATTTGACTGTAACCTGATTGAAGAGGATGAATGAGTGGTTGGCAATGGCAACTCAGGAAAGAGAGAGTCAGAAAAGAAAATGCTGTTAGCCTGTCTTCAGCATGGTGGTCCCTGGGGGTACAGACACTGGTCCACAGGTACAAACACCCGCCAAGTGGCAGAATATCAGTTTAATGAAGATGAAAGCATGGAGTTATTACATCCCAGCCCTCCCAGCCTTAAGTTCACTCAACTCACTCCTCCTTCTCCCCATTCTTTGCTCACAAAGCAACCTCCTGACTACAATTAAGCTTCATGCAGATTTGCCTACAGGGAAAGAGACACTAATCAGCAAGCATGATTATTTTGTCCATCTGATAGCATCAATTGTCATTATGAATAATGAAACTGGTACTTGGCTAGTGAGTGGGAGTATCTAAGAATCTTAATGGCTGATTGGGGATCTGAGAGGCAGGTGCATGGGTTGGCGTGGTAACAAATTCAGTACCGGATACAAGAACTCTATTTTACCTTTTCCCCATTATAAAAGTGATCGGCCTTCATTATTTCTTTCCCTTTGCCACTTATTTTTGTTTCTAAAATCACTCATAATTCCAAACATCCAAAACAACAACTACTAATTGTCAGGATGTTTTCTTCCAATCTATTTCCTATACATATGGAAATAACATTAAACAACTATTTCATTTCCTTTTTTGTGAAAGTGCAGTAGAGATCTGCAATCTCAAATGACAAAATTCCTAGTCAAATGTGTGGGAAAGAGTTTTGGCTGTGTTTCTCATGCAAAAAAATAAAAATAAAAGCATACTCAACTAAATTTCAGAAAAGAATTAATTTCTGCAACATGACCCAGAAAGAGATTTCATATTCCCAAGAACATTCCAAGACTTACAAAAATGAAAAATAATCCAGGAGAACTGAAGAACTCTTCATGATAGGGAGGTACCATAATTATCCAGCTAGAGATAGGAGAGATATTATCCTTTTAAACTCAAATTCATGTCTCTGGCAAAGGGGTGTGTGTGTGTGTGTGTGTGTGTGTGCACGCACATGCATGTGAGAGGATGATTGTTGATATTCTAATTTTTCTCATTCATTCTAGTTATTTGCTAGTCTTGCATAAAGAACTGTCAACTACTTCATTAACCTGAAATATGAATCATACAAGCAAGTCAAAATAAATGCTTGATTTTTTCCTTTTGTTCATCTAATTTAATAATAATAACTTGGTGCTCTGAAGTGTTAAGTGCTTAGTAAAAGGGAACTAATATTTGTATGCTTTTGGCTTTGCTACTATTTGAACATCTTACTATGATATTTAAAAATTTCCATTCTCTTACTCTCTTTAACCCAAACTCATGGTTAGAAGCAGATGGGACTGACACATCAAAGAAACTTACCTCATTCTCTGAGGAGCTTGCAGAGAGGAGTACTTCTTGGGCATCAAAGAACTCAGAGACAGACTCTGACATGGACAGGCGACTCTCATTGGCTACTTGCTGTGAGAGGGGGAGACTGACATGGATTTGCTCACCAGTCTACAGTAAAAGAAGAGCAGAAGGAGTAATCATTTTTTCCCTTAAAATAGCTATCTGTTCTAATCAGATCATCATGTCCTAGCCAGATTTCCTGTGAAACACACACCATATGTTAAGAGTATTGACCACAAATAATGTTCACTTGCATCTCAGTAATCACCTCTGATGAAGCTTCTTTCCTCTCTCTGTCTACAGAATGCACAAGGCATAGTTCAAAGATGTTGGTTCTGTGAGTTGATTTTAAATCTATGCCCAATTGATAGTAAATGGAATGTAACATATTGAGTCTCTCTCAATACAGTGAATTGGCTGTAGAGAGAAGTCCATCCTCATATACGTAGGTGTGTCATTATTAGTTATATTCTAACCAGCACACTAGACCTCAAGAAAAACTTGTGGAAACCACTAGAGAATTGGTAAGAAGACAGTCTACAAGACTAATTTTTGAGACAATATATAAAAGTCATTTTCCAATTTGATCATGAGTTTTAACCAATGAAACATATGACTAGAATATTGAAACTTATTTCAAACTATATTTTATTCAGTAAGCAATAAATACTGTTTTTAATGAGGCTGTTTGAGTTTCAATTAGAAAAATATGGAAGAAAACTATAATGTGAGGAAAAATATATTTCAGTACACATTTCAGGCTGAAAAGAAGACTCAAACTGAGACGTTAAAATTTCTGAGTGACAAAATTTTAGAAGTACTTCTAGATTCTGGGCAGCTGAATAAGGATGAGTGTTACCAGAGATCCTGGGACCCACAGAGATGAGGGGACATAGGATGGGAAATAAGTCATAGAGAAGCTGTCTTGGATGATATTTTCTAATGGTAGAACACTGGCACCTGTAGGATTTTAGCACAATATGTTTTTGGCACAAATATGACCTTAGTATCTCTTTGTTACATGTATCACTTTTTATAAAGCTACAATATGTTGAAAAGTATAAATTATTAAAGTTATAAACATTTTTATAAAGGATTATAAACAGAATTAATACTCTGAAGTCAAGCCCAAATATTGAATGTCTTCCTGTGCTATTACTACATTTTAGTAGTACTAAATTTAGCAGATCTTTTAATCTGAAAAATGTGACAATAGCAGCACCTACAAGTTTTGCTGGGAGAGTCAAATGAGATAATACACATCAAATGGTAAGTACAGTGCCTAGCACATAGTAAGTGCCCATTTGACACACGTTAGCTATTAATTATCATCATCATCATCAATAGTAGCTATAGCAGCACCATTAGTATTAGCTTAACAAGATCAGATGATGTCTCTCATTAGGGCTTTCAAAACTTCAAGAAAATTTTTATCTAGCACCTTCTTAGCTAGCATTCCATGGATTTTTTGATGATAATGAACATATCAAATGAAGACTGGGAAAACACAGAAAATTCACAAGCTGGAGTATACATAAACAAAATATTCTGACATGAGGCGAACACAGGAATAAATAAAAAAGAGATACTGATGACCAAGAATAAATGATATCCACTTCATCTATATCCCTTACTCCAAAGTGTCAGCACTTTGTGCTGGGAAGCTGTCAGCAACACAAATATTTATTCAGGAGTCTTGTTAACATTGAAAGAACTGGGTAAAAATAAAAACAGGCAATAGGTTTTGACACTTTTAACATAAATATTCTACATCTATTAAAAATGAGTCTTACCTCATCAGGACTAGGAATAATATTGACACTGACAACCTGATCACAAATAATAGATTCTGAATGTATTCTGTTCAACCGACTCCTCAGTTCAGCATTCTGGTTGAGAGCCTTAAAATAACAAAAACCACACATGTAATTTTGAATTAATAAGCAAGTTTAAAACAGAACAAGCACACGGGAACAGCTTAGACAACAAAGTCTAGGATGTTCTCATTTGTAAATTTTTGGTGGCATCATAAGCCAGATCCTACTGGCAAGAAGGAAATAAATGGCTCAGAATTAAGGTATCCATTTTTTGCAATCAAGACTTCGACTTAGTAGGTTAATGCGTTAAAAGATCTCATGGATTTCATAAAATTGATTCACGGAGTTTCCTTTCCCTCAGAATCAAGTCTATTAGTTCCAAGCCCAGTCTACCACCACATATATATTACATTTTCAAGCTGAGATCAAAACTATTGATTCTGTTCATTTTTTTGTTCTATTGTTGTTTCAAAGTCAGATGGTTATCTTAAAAATCACCTGGATATGAAATGAAGAAAGAACTACCTTGATATTTTATGACTTATATATTTAGTCTAGCAAAAGGAAATAGTTGCATTTTCAATTTTTAGGAGCACATAATTTTCATACATGACAGTGCAGCAGAACTAACTCAAGTGTAGATCAAAAGGTGCCTTTACTGAGCAGCACAGACATCAAGAAGAATGAAAAAGAACGCAAAACGGAAAGTAAGCTAACTCCAAGTTAAGTACATCACACTATTTTCAACACATTCTACATCGGCATCAGTAAAACACCACCTGCTCTAACACCATTTAGTAAATGCGGCAAGAAGAGAGCAGCGTTACCTAAGCCTGGTGTCCCTACAGGGGCCCTGGAGACAAAGGTGTGTGCATCACAATGATGCAAGGGAACATGTTCATGTGTAACAGATAGAGCTAACCGGATTATGTATTGAGCAACGCAGTCCTCCAGTCACGCAACACTGTCCTCTCCCCACGCTGCTCCTTCTTCCCTGCAACCCAGTTTTTGCTTTCTGAGGAGAAAACTGTTCACTCACAGCTTTTGACTTTTGTTTAAAGTTTTTCTAGCTTGTAAAATATGTGTAAAACGTAACACACTTGCTTGGGTGAGCTAAGCAGTATCAATGGATTAAAGCAGTTATCGATGGACTGTAGTATGTAGATACTACAGTCATTACATCTGCAGCTGGGAAGAAGGACATAGGTATCTGGCTTGCTGAGAAAACAGGGCTGTTAGAAAAAGAGGCAATTAAAAGCACATGTGCTTCAAAGCAAGAATCTTCATATCTTTACATTCTAGAAAAGCACTCAGGATCATTTTTTTGGAGCAAAATCTCAAACATCTGGAATTTGAAAAAAACATTGTATTACTTCCATCCCTTGTGACTATTCTACAGTAGTTTGTTCTTTCTTTACTTCTTTGCTTCCAACTTTTCTGCAAATTACTGAAGTGTTTGGAACCAGAGCTATTTTGTTGTCTTGGAAGTGAGAAGCCCCATGGCAGGTGGCTTGATGGTTTTAATCACAGAATCACAGTCTCAGCCTGATAGTTCAGACTGTATGTCGTCACAAACACACCTCAACTGATGGCTCCTTCCAAGGGAATGCACCTTCTGTTGCCACCAGAACAGAGTTAACAGAAAACCTGCACTAAATTCAAGGGCAAGGATAAACTGGTATTCCTCAGGGTAAGAGTTTTAAAGACAAGTTTACCATTTATGAGGAAAGGAATGCTATTTTTTTTCCCCCTGGATATTCTTAGATGAGAATTAAAGCTCTCCATTCTCTGGTCATTAAATGTGATCTTGCCTACAGGTGTGTGTGAAGGTGCAGAAGATAACCTCTAGCCATTGATACACACAGGGAGCGAGGTAAATGTTTAAAAGGAAATATTTTATTAATAATATATATGCAGTGGTAGAAAAAAGTTGCTGTTATAGAACACAAAAAGCTTAGAAATACTGTTCTACCTCTGGCAATCCCAATGCTAGAAAGTGTGGGCAGACAGCTGAGCATGCAACAGCCCATTTATGCATAGCTCATGGGCAGCTCCTCCTTTTGCCTTGGTCACACAACTGTTTTTGAAATTGGCCACAACCAATCGCCCTGATTTTCATGGGATAGCTCTCTGGTAGTGCACGGCCACGCTCATGACTTCCCTTCCTAAAGCTCAACTGTTTTCTCTGTAATAATATCACAAGAAACTTGAAGAATATTGGCATTTTCAGTGAAATGATTCTTTTAGTGATAATTAACATAGAAGAACCCAGATGATGATAGAAACAACGTAAAGAATGCACCCAGGGAGCGGGAACAAGGAAAAAGGAGGCAGATCACCAGCCACTTGAACCAGCCAACAAGCAAGAATACAGCAGCTGTGGAGAATGTCAGTAATAATATCACTCTTTATGACACACATGAGCAGAGGCCTGATAGGGAGGAAGCACCCTGAAGCTCAGGAACAGGACTAGACTCTTCATGAGGCAGGCTCTATGCTTATTTTCACTACTTGCTTTTGTTAGTGAGTTCAGACTGCACTAAAGCTCTCTACAGTGTTATGTCTGTGTCCCCAATGCCTCTCTCGCATCCTCAGACACATTCAAGTCTAGTATATCCAAGAAACAAGTAAGTCCTTCTGAATCCATACAGAAGCTATCATCTTGAAGTTTTAAGCCAGAATCAATTGCCCAAATCCCCATCTCCTTATCTATAATTAAATTTGTTTGCCATGGTAGACAGTGGGTGAGGTTCACCTGAGGCTGGGCAAGATGGTAGCATATCCACTTACTGAATGAAACTGAGGGTTCTGGGAAGGAAACATGGAAGGAAGCCTGACTGCCAAAAAGGGACATGAAATGTGTGGCAAAATGGAATTATAGAGACTCAAACTCTCTGGATAAAAGCAAACCCGGTTCAGGGCCTCCCCTGGTGGCACAGTGGTTGAGCGCTGGGCTGTGAGGCTGCCTCTGGCAAGGGTCCCACAAAAAAAAAAAAAAAAAAGCAAACCCGGTTCAAAAGAACTAAGAAAATTAGCATGAAAATGTCAAAGCTAGAAGGTATCAAATAAATAGAATTATAGCACATTTGGAAAATGCAAAAAATATTTTAAAAAATTTGTACCTTACTGCCAATCAACCAAATACTGGTAGTTTGGTGTATTTCTCTCAACCTTTTTTTCTTATTTATTTTCCACATTATTTAGCAGCAGCATAATTTACATCCTGTGTCTGCCATTTATTCTTTGCACATAAAGATTTATTTTATCTGGTAAACCTTTCTCAAGTTTGATTTTAATGGTTGCAGAATAAATTATTTTCTATTAATGGGCAGCTTAAGCTATTACTGATTTTGACTAGAATAAATAATGATGTCATGAATGTTTATGTTACATAACGTTTCCTTTATTCAACAATACTTTCTTTGACATATCACCCACAGATCAAAGGATCAAACCTTTTTCAAGCTTTTAGTAAACACTGCCAAATTATGTCCAAAATGACATCAATTTAAACTTACTGGATATCTAAAAAATGATGTAAGGCGTCTTGGAAAAATATTTTCATACAGAACATATTTAGCCAGCTTTCAGGAAACTGGAATTGAGGAACAAACAAATACACTTGGAGCTTTTGTCCCAACACAATACTGATTTTGGTATGTAAATTGTCATGGGCACAAAGAATGGTATATACTATGACTGGAATTTTCATTATGCTGCTATGTGCCGTAAAACTAATTTTTTGCCTACATTCCCACACACACCACATTTCACTGATTCTAAGATGCATATTTTCTCCCACGTATAATACCTCTGAAGCATGACGTCAGTTTAATTGACAGCAATTCTTTTTCCTTCTTAGTAATACACAAAACAATCCTATATCTAACAATCAATGGCATATTGATTCAATGAAACACAGTGGGAGTACAAGGGTCATATTCTGCGACTCACATTTAGATAGATCTAATACCTACTGCATTTAGCCAAAGCTGTGCACAAATTTGGGGATCAAACTAGTAACAGTGAGAAAGTGAAATGTATTAAAGGCTCAAGTTGAATCTTTTATTATTCTAGTGCTCTGAAATGCTGAGGTTATCTTAGTCATTATATACTATTTAAATTCAGTATATGGGTACATTTACTGAGACATGAAGTTATAATTTTTGTGAAATAAAGTAATTTATAAGGAATCAGATGACACTGAAAATCCCTTCCTATAGGTTTGAATCTATCATCTATGCTGTCTCTGAAATATGAGAGTTAATTTTAGAGTTTCATGAGGTAAAAGTAGCAGAATTATATATGTTTTTGTGTACATATAGGTCAGGGAACAAATATTACTTTAAAAGTGAGATTCATTAGATTGCCCAGCCTTATAAATTGCTACATGCCCAAGACAGTAATATGTAATGAAGAATGCTAATTTCATATATTTTAAATGCTGTGTGCCTTCAAAGGGATGATGGAACTTGCCAAGTTGATATATTTAAAGGCTTTATTGAAAAGTGACATTTTAATCACTATATATATATATCAAAAAGAACTAAATATGCCCTAAAACATTAGACTACTAAGTAACATTAAAGTTATTTAAACTCTGTCTCTCCCTCTCTCTTTCCCTCTCCTGGAGGGGCAACATGGTTTGGTAACTGGTCATAAGAAAAATATCTGGAAGTTTAACTGATGACACTTGAATATGGATCAAAAATATATCTTCAGATTACCTAAAATTAGACTATGATGTGAAGTTCTACTAATATAATGACATATTGAGAACATCTGTCTTAATGTACTTAAGTTATTTAGTGTTTTGTTCAATCCTAATTGCTATATTGGAAGAGAGACAGTGAAAACAGAACTGGCCAAACAGATGGTTCCCCATCAGCTAATTATCTACCATTATCAGTGTCTCCTTATCTGCTGGTTCCTTCCTCTCATAATGTACACATGCTGAGGTGATAGTCAAATTCCAAGGCTGACTCTCAATACATACACTATTTGCTGCTAAGGTCAGATACTGTCTATCTCTTCCTTCTTGAGAATACGAAAATGCTTCACACTGGGTCTCAATAGTCACACTATCTAAGTTCTTTAGATATTTTCCTGTGTCTCCTATTTTTTAGCCTTTCTTAATCAAATCAATCACTTATTTAATTAAATATTAATGTTCTTAGGAGAGTGCCAGCAGCACTGACCCTCTTTCATTCTGACTAAAAACACAATTTATCAACATCTATAATTTCTCTGACATAGTGGCATATTCACACCTTTCTCTCTAGCCCAGTTCTCTCTCCTGAGCCCCAAAACTGATTATATATCTAATTGCATGTTGGATGTCCCACTGACAACTCAACTTCCACAGAAACCACTCATCATCATTTACCTACCCCTGACACATGGGTTCTCATAATTCTATCTTGGGGAAATAGATTTACCTATTATTTACCTGGTTGTCCAATTAAACAGCCTGTAATTAGTCTTGACTCTCTTTCTGTGGCCCTCTTTAATATTTAGCTGACCTCCAGGTCATGCTGACCCTCCTCCTTCAGTGTCTTCGAAACCCTCTTGGCACTTCCTTATTTTGATTATCTTAAGAATCTACCAACTAGTTTATCTTAATTCCATCCATCCTCCATACTGTACCAGAGTAATATTTCTAATATATAGAAATATGTATAATATTTACAATCTGACATTACCACTCAATAGTTTAAAATTCTGTAAGGTCTGCCCATCACTGATAAGATAAATCTAAACTCTTAGTCCTGAAGAGCTGCCTCCTACCCACTTAGCCAGCTTCTCCTAGATTAGTTCTTCCTTGTTTGCTCTGTGCTTCAGACTCTAACTACCTACAATTCTTCAGATACCCCTCTAGCTGTCTAACCACGGATAGTGATTCCTATACAAGGAGTATATTGTCAGTAAACAGAAATGCCTAAGCCAAGGCTGTAGTGGTTTCTGAGAAAGTCAAGCCACAGTGATGAGGGGAATAGATAGCCAGCAAGGGTGTGACTGTCCCAACAAGGCTATGGACAGGAGCAGGAATGTAAATATTGGGAAAATGCTGTGATAACACAAAATTGGGAACAATGGATTTTCCATTGGATGAGATATAACTATCTGCATACTCCCAAACTATTTTTACATATTTTGAGAATAAAATCAAGCATTTTAATTAAAAGAAAAAGTCAATTAAAAAAAAACCTCTTGAACAATGCAACAAAAATCTGTTGAGGTTCTAAGTCTGGAAGCAAATAAATATGTCGTGATAAGAGAAGGAAATATTTAACCAAAAGGATGCAAAGTTAACATAATTTTGCTTATCTTACTTTTATTTTGCTTATGTTAGCATCAGGTTCTTTCTCATGAGCTGCTGCTGTCTACTAAGGCTCAATTCCTCCAGAAGCCTGATCTGTTTTCACTCACAGCTCAGGGACTTCCCATTCCTCTGCACAACCACAGGCCTGGAAACCTGCGCCGCTCATGTGCAGCTCTGAATGGCCTACAGCATGGTCCATTTCACTGCTCATCTCACTAATGAGATAATGAGCTTCCTGGGAACATAGCCAGGGCTACTTTATCTAGGTATCCCAGAGCTTGTACTGTACCAAGTGCCTTGTCTTTTATTGAATGAAATACAACGAATAAACAAAATTTCTCTTACCATCATTGTTAATCTCACCTATCTCCCCAACTTAGATCTCTATTTATCATTCTCTGTCTTACCAAGAGGCAAATAGAAGCAAGCAAGCAAGCGAGAAATGAGTTTTATTTTCCCTAAGTTCAAGCTTGTTTTAGACCTCTAAGCTGCCATCATTAAATACAGTTGAAGGAAAGATAATATTTAGGGGGTTAATGGTGTATTTTGCACATTTACAAGATGACCTTTGCATGTTCATCTAACCATTATTTTGCTCTTTGATTCATGGCACTTTCAGAGCAATGGTTCAGAAGATTAACACGGACTGAGTGTTCAACAGATACATGACGGGAGAAGAGTCTGGGGCAAACCACTGAAGTGTGTGGTGAACAAAGGCCTCCGCAGGCTGGCACAAGTGCCACTACAAATGCTCGAGCTTCTGAGTCCCTTAGTTTGGCGCTGGAAGCAGCATATGCACCTCGACTGACAGTGTTCTGTGGTGAACACAGAAGGGGTGGCCAGGTGACAGCACTCTATGACAGGAAACTTAACATTGAAAATAAGCTAACAGTCCAGGAACATAAAACATGGTGAGGCACTTCAAGTCAAATTCTTAGGGTCAGGGGTAACTATTCAAGCGGGAGCTGACCCACAGGAAAAACCACTTACCCAGGATTTGTTTGCTCCTTCACTCTGATCCAAGGCACCAGGAAGTGAATAATATTTTATGTAAACACTGAGTTCTCACACAAAATCACATAACAACATTGAATTCTCAAAGGAATTTTTAAAAGTGCATTTATAGATTAAATGAAGAAAATATTTCAGAGGAAGTCCTCAGTGTAAAGATGCAAAGCACAGTTTTAAATATTTTATCAGAAATTTCAATTTTGATATATATAGGGATTTGATTAGTAATAGAAAGATCACTATAATATCTATTGATTAATATATAATAAATACATATTGAATACTATATTATAACATAATATATAGAGAGATAGAAATATAAAGGTCTAGCTTTAAGGAGCATAACGTAGATAGGTAGAGAATCCTAACAGTGTAAATCAGGAAAACAAAGTAGGTAATAGTAATCAGTAAATTTCAACAGATTAAATTTCAACATATTAAAATTGAAATTTATGTTTGCAAGCAAATTTGATTGACTTTCACTTTAACCTTAACATTTTTTGAAAATGTAAAATTGAATAAACTTTTATACTGACACTATATAGTGTTTTGGGAGAATTTCAGATGAATGGGTCATCATCACCTTGATGGTGATGCCCTGCATCCCCAGCTTTTGTTTTACAGGGTTGGGAATGTATCGGGAGAGTAAGGAACACAGTCATTTACCTGAGACAGTGACTGTCGCAACCGTGCCATCTGTGTGCTGTGGCCTTTATTGTGATCCTGCTCAGAAACCATCTGCTTGAGCTTCTCCTTCTCTATAGCTATGCTGTTAAATGCAGACTTCAAAAGAGAATGCACTGGGAGGGGAGAAAAGTGAGAAACAGAGATCAAATGTATCTACCAATAATATATAAAATTATCAACTTCTTAACACTTTAACTCATGCACAGACATTTCTGAAAAGACTGCATTATAGTCTAACTAAAAGTCAGCCTTAAATGGAATCTACCAGAATATCTTTATACAAAACAACTGTGGTAATGAAAATTCATTAGGATAAAAGTTTTAGCATTACATGTCAGACACCCCATCAAAGATTTGGAAGCAGCATGTGAAATATTAGTACCTATTCTAAATATGAAGATTTAGAAATTAATCCAGAATTCCTAGAAGAAAAATAGAAAAAGTTTTAATCTGCTATAATTGATGAGACTATTTGAGAGTTCTGCATACAATAAGTCTCATGCAAATAATTTAGAACTATTCAGTAATTAATTTCCAAAAGTGTACACTCCAAAAGAAGCATTTTCTGAGCCCTGCCAATGTAATAAAAGTTGCTGATCTATAAGTTTTGACTAGTTCTCTTTGAAATAGGAAAATGATTGGCCTTAAGAACAAACAGCACCTGTAGTATTTTCTTAAATAAGGATGTCTTGATGTCACACAAGCTTTCAAAGGGCACAAACTTCCAGTTATAGATGCACAGGTTCTGGGAATCTAATTTATAACATAGTAATTACATACCACTGTATTATATACTCAGAAGTTACCAATAGATCTTAAAATATTCTCAACACACACACACACACACACAGTAATTATATGACATGATGGAGGTGTTAGCTAACACTCTGAGGGTAATCATTTTGTGTGGAATCCCCAGGCCCCCATGTTATTATTGCTATTGTCTTTGTGTCCAGAGTTCCTGCTGGTCAAGCTAAAATGAAGAATCAGGCAGGGGCCTAACACCAGGGCAAAAGTCCTGGTATGAGGAACATATTGGGAAACCAGTATCTGCTGAAAACAGCAGGCAGAGTTTATGGCCAAATTAGCAAAATCAGCTAGAATACCTTACTTGTAAAGATTAACAGAAAGTTAAGTAAGAATAGGAACTAGAGATAGGGTGCTTTGATTAGAGGGAACAATGCAGCACCCCCAAAAAACAGGCCCTGTTCACTGCACCCTAGCTTGCACCAGACAATAACACATCTTCAATAATATCCCCACCCCATGGATGTACATCCTTCCACATACTTGCCCACCTTCTCTGAACCTGATCCTCAATCAGCATGAGACTGCCCTTGTTTAGTGCCTGCATCACTTGAGGTGTGAGCCCCTCTATGTCTCTTACTCTACTTGGACTTTGACTTGTCTTTCCTTCATCCTGTGCTGCTTCCAACACTGCCGCCCCACAACGTGACAATTTTGCAATAGATAAGCCTACCAAAGTGACATATTCCTTAAACTTATGCAGTTCTCTATGTCAACTATATCTCAATAAAGCTAAAAATAAAATAAAAGCAACAATAAAAATAACAATTTCCCCCATTTCTGTATATTTAACAACATATATCAGCAAAATCTGAGGAAGTGTTTAAATTAGATACACAAAGAGGATGAACTTCTAACTCTTTACAATAAGATTTTCTATAATATACAAAGTCTAAATAGGTTTTTCCTTATTTGAGAAAGGTTATTTTTAAAAGAAGTAGAAATTTTTAGCACAAATACAGTGGCCTAAATTAAAAGGGGAAAATGACAGGATCACAAGGGGCTCACAATCTACTGATTTATGTGCTATATTCCAGTCGTCATCAATTTGAACGTAATGACTTGATAACTGCAATACATTAACCCTACTGGCAGCTCTAAAAGCATTTCAAAATCCATAATTCTTTTTAAAGTGTTCACACAAAAGTTACAGAAAAATCCTCTTTTTCTATTATAGAGATTTTGAGTATCCACTGAAAAGAAAATATGTCGTGTCAACAGAAGCTTTAAATTTCTGTTGAAGTTTGGATTTCCTGAAAGCAAACTGGTAACAACCCAACACACAAAGCTTTCCTGGGGCTACTGTCAAATGTATTCATTTCTCTTTAGCAGCTGAGCTATACTTAACTCACAAATTTGTTGTGTCTTTCTACCTGCCCTCTCTGGCCATTAGAAGTAAAAGCTACTGACTTTACTGGCAATAAACTTAACACAGTTATATAAGCAAAATAACACTGCTCTTATCTAAGTGACACAATTAGCAACCACTAAGAAATGTGATGACATCCTACTAGGAGTAATATAGTAGATGAAACAGAGCTGGCTTTACAGAAACTGGCCTGAGAAATTTATATTAAAAAAGGGAGGGTATGATCAGTTTGCTTAATTATTTTAGGAGTATGGAATTAAAGAAATTTCTGCTAGTTCATGTTTGCTGATGATTTAACAGCAGATTTTTGTTGATTTCACCATTCCCAAAGATACTCTCGGTGTGTGCCCCTTCTTTTCCTGAGCCTCAAGGCTCTTGAGCATGGAGAGGGCAAATCAGGATGTTCCCTTCAACATACATTTTCAAGAATATTTTATAACTTATTATTAGCAACACGAGGGGAAATATGATTAATTCCCAGTAAGGTGTTAGTGACTGAAAACAATACAACATCTATCTTTCCCCAAAAGACTAAATATTTTAAAAGACAATGCCTATGAACATACTATCATAAGTCAAAAGATTAATTTCAAAGGTTGAAATTTAAATAATCAGAGCAATAAGGTGGGGGAATTAATTTGGGAGCTGAGGCTCTTGGTAAATACAGACAGGACTGCTCAGATCACCTACACCCTATGATCCTGTTTCTTACTTATTATACCCTACCCTCTGTGGCTGGTGACCATTCAATTTAAGCTACCAGCTTTACTGAAAGCTTACCATTTAAAAAAGAGACTCAAAGTAGGGTTGATTTCCCCTCCTGTCAAATATGGGTTGGCCTGTGAGGTTCTGACTGGTCGAGAGCAAGGACATGACTGTGCCTGGCCCTGGACAGACGGGTTGGGCAGATTCCATTCTACTCTCTTGGAATCTTCAGCTGCCATGGAGAAGGAGAGGGACATAGCTGGGTATGGTCTTCCAGCTATCCCAACAACATGCCAGGCACATGGGTAAAGTCACCTTGCACCTTTCAGCCCAGCCTAAACTCCAGTTAAATATCACTAAGTGGCTCAGTCAATTCCAAGTGGTGCAGAAGAACTGCCTAGGAGAGCCCTACCTGAACTCCTGACCCACAATCTCAAAATTGCAATTAGTGTTATTTAGATCAGTGAGTGCTAGTTAATAAAAAGAGACTCAAACAGAATCTCTCTTTTTTTCTTACTAAGAATGACTCACAACATGTATTAAATGATAACTAAAAGATACTGAAAAAAAGGCGGTGATGGTCTTCGGGCCTGCCTAGGATAACCCATTCTCTTCCCCTCCCTCACTACAACTCAATGACTCTTTCATTCAAAACTATAAGCCTATGATGTACACTCTCCCAAGAGGCAGACATCATACCCCACTGTATTATATATATACACAAGTCTACCCAGTATATAATATTATAATCTTCCCACCATGACAACCTTGACAAGGGTAAAAGGGTAATAGCAACCTCTCACCAATAAAGAGCTTCTCTAAAGGGCACACTGTATTTGTTGTTACCTTTCTGGGCAATTAGACAAAATTCTTCTTGAAGCTTTGTATAATCTGTTGAACTTTCCAGAGGGTCAGTGAGGTGGCTAGGGGGAGTCTGAAATTCAATATCCGCACAAAGGTTGGGGTTGGAGGAATGCAAGCGAACGGGTGACATGGTGGCACTGAAAGGAACCTGAAAGGGGAAGATGGAAATTATTAAAGAGCAACAGTGCACTTGTCCACATTTTATTCCACTGAAAAGCTCACTTCTATTCTTCATTATAAGAGATTCCTCTCTGATGACACAATCGGAGATACTCAGTGCTCATTTATTTTGCAGGGGATGGTGGTGGGAAGCAGTCTCATTTCCTAGAGTTGATTTAGTCCTGTCACTGACTCATAGGCTTTTCACAGTTCCAGGGAGACATGACTACAGCATGACAGGAAGAAAAGGCATAGTACCCGAAAAGCTTCAGCTCTGAACCCACAGTTGTATCTAAAAAATTACTGGCAGATAACAGAAATTTGAACCTAACTGACCTTCTCTTACAGTCTTAATCTTATGTCTAAGGACTTTTGTTGCCTATTTCTTTTTGAGCCTGAAGTAGGGGCTTTGGGTAAAAAATCAAGAGACACATACAGAAAAGTGAGTTCAGCCTATTCCATTATTATATTTACCATTAAAGTGATTTATGTTTTAACTAATGGCTACCACAAATCAAGTTTAAAGGTAAATATAATAATGGCTTAAAGAGATTCATAATTCAATTTGAAATGCAATATAAAACAGTTAAATGAATAACTCTTGTTTACATTTGTATGTTTTATACAGCTTTCTTACATATATGAATAGACCAATACAGAAAAGCATTAAGTAAAAAAAGAAAGTCATATTACTAAAGATATTCCCAAATGGGTAGAGGCTATTTTCCCACTCAGGTTGTATATGGATTAGGCTTGTGATGAGTGGAAGAAAAACACCTTTTTCTCTCCTTCCAGAAAGTTCTATCTGAATATTACAACTGCTATCAATGAAATATTCTTGGAAAATGAATATATCAATTCCTCTTGTAAATAAGGTCATCAGTAACCTCCCTAATTCTTATGGCACAGATTTTCATTCAGTTATCATCAAGAATTAGACTCAGATTCCTTTGTAAGCTGAGTTTTGTATAAATTAAAGGATAATTCACACCATCTATCTAAGGAGGAAATATGCTGTAGGAGGAACGAAGAAATATCTTGTCTGATGTACATGTCTGTCAGAACCACTTTCTTTTTTACATATTTTGATTTTGTTTTACACTTTCAGACACAAAAAGAGATCGAGAGGCGAGAAGAAATTAGTGTTCACTGAGGACACACGATAAATGAAGGAGATGGACAGAACCACAAAGGTGTGACCTGAGCGACAGTTTGTGGATCTGGGTGAGGGCAGTTGAGACTGCACAGGAGAATCCTTCAGATGTAGCTTTGCCCTAGCAGGCAGTTGTTTATTTCAAAACATATCTAAGACTTACTGGGGAAGGAAACAAGCATGAGGCTTATCCCCTAAGATCAGCTAAGCACATGAATATATGATACCCAAAGTATTTGATATCTGGGGATATCAAAGTAACTTTCATCCTCCATGGGGACTTTGGCTACGTTAGGAAATGTCAACAGGTTGTTTATAAGACTCAAAATTTCTGGCTGTTTTAGAGAAGACAGCATTGACAGATAAGCCATTTGAGAAAATGGAGTCCTTGGGTTCAATAACTTGCTAGAATCCTATCCAGCTAATTTTGTGATGATAATAATTGAGGTGGTTTGGGGCTATCTATAAAGGAATGACATTTACATAGAAGAATAAAGATATATAAAGGAAATTCTTGCCCTTAATTATGGTGATGTTAAGTCTACAAAGAAGTCATCCCACAGTCCTCTAGGAGGAACACAGAGAATCCATGGAAAGACTGATGGAGATAAGGAGGTTCTGGGACCATGTTTTAAGGAAAAGTGTAGACAAAACAGTTGACCATGATTTAAGGAAAAGTGTAGACAAAACAGTTTTCAGATTAAAGGATACAATTTCCCAACACTAGCAACTAGAAGACCATTAAGAAAAAAAGGTGGGTGTCTGAGATGGAGACTGTAATATGCTGTGGATCTTGGACAAGGGTTTTATTTGCACTCAGGTGCCCTCCATGTGGACCTCAAGGACTAGCATTGTGGCAGAGAAGAGGGGTGTCTTCCCTTGAGTGGAGAAAGTAGAGGCTGTGAGAGTTGCGGGGAGAGGTTGTGATGGAGGCCATGATGCAGAAGAGGCCCGCAGAGTCCAGTAAGGACCCACACTTGTTCCTGTGATAACAACTTCCCCATATAAAGTTGGAATCAGATGCTGAGAAGAAAAACATGTTACAAATTTATATTTCTAACATAATGGAAGTTTAAATTGGCAATTAAAATAGTAAAAGTGATTGTGTATAAAGCCCACAGGGAGAGAGACTTGGGAATGCACCATTCAAATTGCAATCAGATAGATCCCTAGGAAATTGAAAACTAATTTTTATATACTTCAGATTGAAAATGTTTGTATTGATATCTTTTTTTTTTTTTTGCTAAAAGAAGTATATAGAATAGGTCATTTACATTGAAGAATTGATGAAATGAAATTAAGAATACCAATAGTGATGTATTAATCTAATTTTAATTGAGTATCTCTTTAGCCTAGGGATTTTTTACTCAGTTTTCCATTAGCCAGTTTGGGTATTATGGGATTCAAACATTTAATGGTTAATAGGTTCTCTCAGTGATGGCTGGAGTGGGAGCTGAGCTGTCTATAGCTCTCATGTTTGCCCCAAAAACCCACAACAGTGAATGAAGCCTCTACATCCTATTCTGGAAAGAAGTCCAAGACTTCTCTGAGCTTCTGTGCCTGGGGAGCAAGCCTGGTCCTGGAATATCCTGGTTCTGGTAACTGCACTTGGGATGAGGGTGTTAGGAGATGAATTCTAGGTAATAGGAACCTATCACGAAGAACACATTCAAAATATGTGGGATAATTTGAATATTGGGAAGAGGAAGGTGTGGTTACTAAGGAGAAACACTGAGCTAAGAGAATTGAGGGGGCTGAATCACCCACAGCAGGTCATTAGATATGAGTGGGGAGAGCCACTCACTCCTAACACTTGTTTATGAAGAAGTCAAAAGAGGATGGGTTGATAGTGAAACTATTGGCACTAAACTTTAGTAATGGTAGCAAGAATGAAACAGGGGACCTGAAACAGCAGGTCTATGATAGAAACTAAACTTCTGTGACTCTCCAGCCAGGATGCAGAGTCCCCTGCTGTTCCTCTGCGTCTGGCAGGAGCACTGGCTCCATCCGGTCTCTCAGTGTTTGTCCGGGGGAGGGGCTGGGTTTTTCTTTTTCCAGTTCTGTTCTACTGGATCTGGCTGATGTTGCACATAGACCATACTGTGTGCTTGTGCTAAGAATCAGTGAGGATAATCCTCTGTGACACCTCCTTGGGTGCACTTTTCATTGAGAACAATCTCAGCTGTCCCCAGTAGGCAAGGAAAGTAAGTGCCTAGAAGTCGCTTGGAAGAATTCTAGGTAATAAGAACCTATCAGGAAGAACAGACTCAAAATATGTGGGATAATTTGACTGTTGGGAAGAGGAAGGTTTGGTGACTAAGGGAAAACACTGAGCTAAGAGAAATGGGGGGGGGGGTGCTGAATCATCAGCAGCGGGTCATTAGATGTGAGTGGGGAGAGCCAGCTGAGTTCTTGCCAGAAGTTACTCAGCTCTGGTATTGAATTAAAGCTCTAAATCCTAGGAGATTTAGAGCAAACCACCCCCCACCCCCAACTTATTCCTGAATACATTAATAAATGTTGCTAGCTTTTCTCACTGGATGCAACTAAGCTATTCTTAATTTCTGTGGTTACAGCTACTCTAGAAGGTGGGCATTAATTCTTTCCTCTTTTAAAAGCTTTGTCTCATTGATTCCCGACTTTTAAAAATATAAATCCATTTTCTTCAATAGGTTCTATTTGCAGTTTTATTATATTCACCAAATGTATCTGAAATTAAAAAATGAAAACAGTAGAAACCCATCACTTCCCTGTGTGCTCTCTTAGAAGGACATTATTTAAGCAAACATCTGTATTTTCATAAAATGATTGACCTTCTTCCCCTACTGAGATATTGTTCTCTCTAACAATCATGTGGATTTCTGAATTTTATAAATGAAAGACTACATTTGAGAATTACTTAACTGATTATACAGAGACCTTTTATCAGAACCTGTTACCATGTCAGTGCCAAATGCTTGACTCACCTGCATTTGAATACATGCATGAGATACACATCACCCACTAAAACAATTTCCATAATTTGTTTGTTCAAATGTCTACTAAACTTTGAGTCTGTCAGTTCCCTAATAAACTCCAAGCTGTTCATTTCATCATCAAAAACAACTCTCATTTCTTAAACAATCCAGCTAATCACCCAGATAGAAAGCAGAAGTCAGCAATTAATCACAAAGTAGAAAACCAACAATCCTTTTGCCCACTCTGCATTCTTCTACAAAAACCCAAACCTTTTCATATTTTTCAGCAATTGTAGTATCAAAATACTAGAAGTATTTTAGTATTAAAATATATTCCACCTCTAACAAGAGCAAGCCTACTGTTCATTTAGAAAATATGATCTAATAGTCAAAAAACTAACATCCATAATCACTATGAAGTCAGTACTCTATTTTAAAAAGCTGTTAGGATATCATGAGTAAGCAAATACTATGATTTACTTTCATCCAGCAACTTCTTGTATGTACATATTCTGTTTTATATTCTGTAAGGACAGCTCATTATTCTAAACATTTTCTACTCAATTTTAAATTTTGGTTATTTGCTTATCTTATCTCAATACTTCCTTTGTCTTCTGAATAACCACCTTATTTTATCTTAAAAAAAAGAAACCCTCTCGAGATACATCAAACACCATTTAACATTTTGGCTTTTCTCCTTCCCACACTTTATTTTCTGATTTTCAGCTCAATATTCTTTCCAGAAAACAATTTTCCTTTGCTACATGTAATTTGGTAACCATTTAGAGAAGAAATGAAATCCACATTTTTTTTTTTTACTCTCTAATTTCTTTACTCTCACATTCTGTTCAAATGGTCACACACTACCCAAAAGAGTGCAATTTATATTTGTAATAAAATGACATTTCTTAGAAAAATAGAAATCAGTTAGCAAAGATTTCAATAGCAAGATGACAAAAAATAGCATTTAAGGAAATCCCATACCACAAAGACTTGGACTCAGCTTTGCCACCTTGAATTTAAATGATTTTTTACACTGACTGATGTAGAGAAATGGATTATGTAATACAATAGCTTCCCACTGCAAAAACGAACGAATGCCTGTGTGTGACCCCTGCCTGGCGAAGACAGCCAGACAACGTGCAAGGCGATGCCAACCAGGAACGGGTCACAGGATGCCATCACACGCAGGTGGCACCATTAGAACAGAGGACGTGACACTCATACAGTTTCTCATTCTCATTAAACATCCACTGGAGATTGAAATCCACTCACTGTTGTAGCCACTGCTGCTGCTAGCCTCTGCCGGCGCCGAGTTGTGTTGAACTGGCCCTTCGTAGGTGGCCCTTCCTGACAGTGAATGGGAGAAGAGGAGGGAGGAGAAAACATGGGGGAGGGGAGGGAGAGGAGAGGATACGGGAGGATGAAAGATAATCAGACAAGGGAAAGGGAGAGTTTAACTGAAGTTATTTTTGTCTAAATTTTTACCCTGAAATGAGCTTGAAGGGGCATTTATGCTGTGAGAAAAGCTGATTGACCCAAACACTTAAGTGTACTTGCTGATTGTAACCCCCAGCCCAAAAGGGGATGGAAAGCTATGAATTGATGAATAATAGCTTGTGATTTTACGGTAAAATAAAGGTACCTACTCTTTTATTCATGCAATATCACTTTATATGAAGGCACAAGACATTCGACAAATGGAAGCAAAGAAAAAATAAGTTCAGGAAAAAGTGACTCAATAAAACAATGCACAACAGGCTAAAATGAAGAAGTTGTAAAGAGTCTCCTGTTAGTGAGACAGAACTTTTTTCTCTCTTACTGGGAGGGAAAAGTAAGGCTAAGGGTACCGGGAAACCTTCAATTTCCAATTTATTCCCATATTGTAAATCTCTCTGGGATTCAACATTAGGGAAGATGTTGGAATTTTCCAGCCGAAGAATTTTCCAAGGAAGAAATCAGTCCCCATAGCATAAGAAAAAGCTCTCAAGTTCCTCACTGTGGTGGGATAATGTTTACAAAAATCGACTATAAAAAATGAAAGCAGAGGTTTCATTTAGTGTCTGGCACCCATACGTGAACTAGTAGCAGAATCCTAGAGGGTTTTTCCTCTTTGGTGAACTGGATTAAAGGAGAAAGACATTTCCTTCTAACCACCTAACTCTGTTTCCCTTTGACAGATTCTGACTCTTCAGAATTATGAGCCATAGTTTCAATTCCAATGAACTGAAATGTTCTTAGAATCACCTATCAGTACAGATTCAGGAAAAAAACAGTAAAGCTGCTTTAGCTTTTTTTTTGAAGAGCAACAACAAAAAATTAATTGTGATACTGCCATTTCTCTACAATGTTTCCAAATTTCATTCATATTTTTCTTCAGCTTCATAAATCTGCATTTATGTTTGTTATACATATATAATCTGTTTTCCACAAAACCTTCTACACAAAATCCTTTATGTTTAATATATGTTAAAAAATAAAAGGACTTTTACCCTTCAGTGTGATTTGAGTATCTGTGAGGTCTAGGATAGCTACACATGGATGTCATCCGGCCATTTCATCAACTACTCCTTATTTGTTACTACTCCTCATTCTTGATTAACATCTAGGAACCGAGTATTTAATTTGTTAGCAACAGCTCTCTTCTATAGTAACCCTTTAAAAACTATTCCCTCCTTGCCTTCTTACTCATTTAAAACACAAAATATTACTGCATAATGATGATGTTGAAATTTCTGTTGGAACCAGAATTTTGAAGTTTCAGAAACAGGAAGCCCTTTTCTAAATTGCAATCACCACAGAGCCCTCTAGATCAAATGCTGCCTTCGGTGAGTTAAACGATGATTTCTGGGGTGAGCTTCCCACTGACTTCCAATAAAAAGATGAACACAGACATCCAAAATTTAGTTTCACATTCAAATCAAAGTCGAATCTAACCTACAAAAGGACACACAAGGAAATAGCCAGTATAACATGCTCTTCATTTTTACTTTCCTGAGGCCCATTTTTCAAATGATCTATTTTGCAATTATTTCAAAATGACTACTATACAATACTGAATGCAAAATTCAATGAAACAGCGTCAACAACAACAGCAGTAACAACCACTACCGCACCAACATCAGAAGTCTAGGCCCCTTTACAAACTGCAGTGGACTGGATGTTTCAAACACTGGAGAGGAAGAAAAATAAGCCACTCACTACAAAAGCCTCTCAAGTCGGCTGCTACAATGACCATCAGAGAAGGTGGTTCAAGTAGTGAGATGATTATGGGTCTTAAAACAAATAGTTGGCACCATCAGATAAGATTGTTATGACCAAGAAACATTTTAAACAGGAAGAAAAAATCTATTAGGGTGGGAGAAGGTGGTAGGGATGTTTAACTCGCTACCATAAAAATAAATGCTATGCCTTCTGTAGGTAAAATACTGATGAGTAATGACATTTATATTGGTCACAGCATCCCTAATTGATTTTAAAGCTTTCCACCCAAGTGTGCATGTTAAAGAAATTTCAAGTAACTGCCCAGCAATAGACAATGGGCATCCTATTAAGCCTCATCCTATTAAGGCTGAAAGCCTGTTGGTTTGAGGGAACAGAAAAGGTCCAGGGATGGTGTCAAAATTCTGCAACATTCACCCTACAGTACCTTTTGTTTTACTAGGTTAAGTGGAAGTGGGGGCTTCTCTGACACTGATTACTTACCATCACCGCCCCCCACAAGTCTATTTCTACTTGAAGTTAGAACTAAATTATCATTTGAAAGCCTAAATTCTTCATCGAGTATGGGGATGAGATTTCAACTTCCCTCAAAAATAATTAAACTGGAATCACAAAGGCAATTATGTTCCTCATTGACAAAACAGAAACAAAGCATAGCAGTATAAAGACAAATTTAAAAACAAACCACCCAAAGATGTGGCAGTAGTACAAATTAAAAATATTTTCATGCTTTTTGAACAATTTCTTTTGATGACTCAAAAAAAATATTCATAACCTCTCCTCATATAGAAAAGCAAAGCCAGTCACTGAGTAGGCAATTCAGAGCTGGATTCTGTTTCCGTCAGGAAAAACAGAGGGATACAGGGACCATGGAGGGTCTTCAGCAGCAGCCAGGGGCCGGGGGCACCTCACCCAGACTTGCTGAGATGCTTCCTATTCCACCTATTCTGTTTGCTGGCATGCCTACTAAAACAAGATCAAAATAATATCTATCCAGGTATATATATTTTTTAAGATTCATTTTATTTATTTTATGCATATAAGAGGCGGGGCAAAGGAACAGGTAAGAGGATTCACCAGGACAGATGGGGAGCAGAACAGGTGGATCAAGTGAAATACACTGCTGAGGGGAGCAGCAAGAGAGACAGGAGAGGTCTGCTGTGCCAGGTGGCTCAGCTCCCTGGCTGGGGATTGAACTCATGCTGCAGTGGCTGCCGATAGCTTCATAGTGCTGAGACTTAACCATAGTGCTATCATCACCAGTGGCTGCCGATAGCTTCATAGTGCTGAGACTTAACCATAGTGCTTGCATCACCAGGGAGGCCCTTCTTCAATTGTTTTATTTATATGGATTTTCTTTTCATGGCTATGATAACGATAGATACCATGCTTAAAAAAAATAGCAACCAAAAAATTGACAATCTCATGCACAAGACAAATGAAACTGCCAAAAGCAATTTTAGGTAATTTTCTTATGAAATCATTTGGTACACATGTCACCCCAGTATTTTCTGACTAGAAGGGAAAACACACAAAAACATACTGAATAAAAGAACACAAAAAATAGTGTTCACAGAACATGAACATTCTAAATTTAAAAAAATGGCGCTTTAGTGCTTAGAAAAACTTATTTTCAAATATACCAGATTAGCAAGCAAAGCAATGAAGAATTTGTTATTTACACATTCAGAATTATAACACAAAGAGGGTTATATAGTCAGAATTAAAGGTATTCTTTAGTCAGAAGACACTGAAGAGTTCTGAAAAGCAGTTCCCTTTACTTCTGTATTATAATACAAATTGATTTACAGTGTAAAAAGTAAAATCATAAGATTAATTTTAATTTTTGTTAAAATCATAAGATTAATTTTGATTGTTCAGGACAAGAATTCTTCATAAGCTACAGTTAGGGTCAGAGTATTAGTGAGACTAGTTTAAAGAACTGAAAATAATCTGATTTATGACATGAGAGATTTTAGGTAATTACCATAGTCTGAAGATTATCTTACTTTAAAAATTTAACACTACTCATTTCAAATAATTTAAAATAATTCAAGAAAATTTGCATTGGCCATTAAGACTTGAATGATTCAGATACTTAGAGTAATAGTTGAAGATTAAATGATGTTGAGTTTTGTAGAATCATAGAATTTTAGAATTGGAAGGGAATTCAAAGATGATTATTAGCTCTATATCACTTTACCCAGGAGAAAAATGAAAAGTCCAGAAATTTTATAGAAATGCACAAGATTAAAAAGCCAGGAAATCAGAGTGAGTAGACTGTAGCCTAGATTTGTTGTTTTCCAATCTACTGCAGCCTTTATTCTTATATTGATAGACTCAAGCTTGGACAAAGCTAACATAAAAGATTCTCTTAAGACCTATGAGTATTCATTATAACCCACTGAATTTAGATTTTTAAGTTGATTTTATGTGAAAATATATTTTAATAGTTCAAAAGTCAGAATGAAAATGCCACTTATAGCCATACTGAATGATTTTAATCATTTAAAAATTATTTTTACATATGCTAGAATATAAAGAGCAGATTTCCCATTATTTTAGTTAAGAGTCAGAAAGGCATTGGCTTTCAAGCATTTAAGCTGTTCTCTAACTCTCACTTCTATGAACTGATATATAAAGACAAATATTTCTTAAGTATATAAAAATATGAATGAAGGAAAAATAAAGTCTGTACCTGCAGTTGTATTTTTGTATCTTTGCTGACACTTTTTGTTCTCCATCGTCTTGTGACTCGCTTGTCTTTCTTTGAAATATCTACACAGTTAGCCTACATTACACAAATAGTTAAAAGCAACAAAGGTTTATTAAATTCACACAAATGATAAAGGTATAGATAAAGAGAGCATAGCAAGTTAGTAAGAAATCATTGTTAGACACCTAAAGCAAAACAGCCAGGACAGAAGGCGTTTAGCTGACATTAAAAGCAGAGCCAGTACTTTAATTATAATATATCTTTTTTTCTGCTTTGCAAAATGAAAGGAGTGTTAGAGACCATCAGCAATTTTTCTACACGAAAAGATGATAATTCTAAGAGCACAAAAGTTATATCTTCAAATTTGTCATTTCTAACACAAAACCAACATGGAAGACTGATTTAGATATTTATCTCCTTTAATTAGTTTGTGTTTATATATATATATAAATGGAATGTAATAAAACATTCCAAAAGAGACAACTTAACACAATGACACCAAGATTCAATATAAGATAATCTGTATTGCAGTTATTTCCCTTTAAAAATTACCATATATAGTCATAGAACAATCCAGTAAAAATTATTAGTTAATATTTCAAAGCACCTTTACCAGCAACAATAAGATGCTTACCTGCATATCAGTGAAGTTAGGTGCTGACTGAGTTCTCTGAAGTATTTCCAAATTTTGCAGGAGTTTGCTAAGTTCCACAAGGTTTGACTGGCAGTGTGCAAGGTCTAATAAAAGTCAGAAATAAAATTATATGAGAACTAGTCAGGAAGTTGTGGTGATGGCAAGAAAAATGATTCCATCCACATGATGGCAAATAGGATTAGATAGATCTGTATTTATATAATGACAATGGTAAATAAGAGACTCATCTCTGCTTTAGAACCATAAAACCATCAATAATTTATTAGATGATTTCTTACAAATTAACAGCTCCTAGTGTAGAGAGCCACTGAAATCTGAGTCTCTATGGATGTGCTCACTCTGCCTGCTTGGGGGGCTGTGACACCGAGCACATCCAAGAGAACTCCAGCTATATATTACACAACTTTATTTTTAGGACTTTATTCTGTCCACCTGCTCCTGAAGCAGTTTATAAAGTGGCTGCCTAGAATTTGGGTGTAAAGTCAAGTCCATGAACATATAAAATACAAAGTCAAATAAACATATTTATCTATAATTTGGTTCACTAACAATGAGTGATTTCATTAAAATCTACTGGACACATCATGTTAAACAAAACCAAAAATTCTTAAAGCATTCCCTGGGCCAGCGATAACAGCATTTCTTGGGCATGCAACTTTATCTGAATTAATGTTTAGAATGAACAAATGACTGATTAAAAAATATTTTGTCTGTATTTGAAAAGAGAAAATTTTAAAACAAACTCACCCTTTGCATGTTAAATTAAATAGTCAAGAAAATTAAGATATCAGTATTACTCAATTACTAAATATTGATATTTAGAACATGACTCTCAGTTATGTGATGACTTTTGCATGTGTATTGTTTATGAAGAGACTGCATATTTATAAATCTGCAATATTATAAAGTGGTTATTTTGTGGTCAGTTGGTAAAAATTTTATGTATATAATTTCTGTTTCTCATTAAATCTCAAAAATCTGAATTGCTCAAAGATGACACTGGCAGCAAAATAGCACTCTTAAATAAGGCTAGTGATTAGTTGGGTAAATATCATAGATACTTATGCTTGGGGATTTTTGACATTTTTGATGGGTATGAACTAAGAGGGTAACTACTATAAGGAGGTCTATATAGGTCAGAGGCAGTGCACTCCTTGGAGAGTGGGCAACAATTCACAATAGGTCCCTCCTCTTAGCAGCTCAGTGGGGAACCTGGTGGGCTGTTAATGTGCAGCTTGCTGTTTGGCCAACTAACTCCTGGCCATCAATGGTCTTTAAGTTTCTTAGACAAGGAGCAACCCAGGGAAGTGGGAGGAAGAGAGTGCTGAAGAGGCCAGTGCCCTTCCACCCCCATCCATCTTCAGAGGAGGCAGCACCCTTGCACTTCCACATCCTCCCCCTACAAATCAATGAGATACCCCCTCACACCTGTGAGGATGCCCCACATCAAAAAGGCCAGAAATGACATGTGTCCACCCAGTGAAAGCTAAAACACTAACTCAAAGGTATATAAGCACTCCTATGTTACTGCAGCGCTATTTACAGGAGCCAAGTTATAGAAATAACCTAAGTACTTAAAGACAGATGAGCGGATCAGGAAGATGTGGTGTATATACACGATGGACTACATCTCAGCTTTAAAAAAAAAAGGATGAAATCTTGCTGGAGGGCATTGCGCTGTGCAATATGAGTCAGAAGGAGAAAGACAAATACTGGAGATGGTGTCACTTTCATGTAGAATATAGAGAAAGAAAACAAAAAGTCAGATAAAAGCAAACCAACAATAAGCTCTAGAAATCTGACTGTAGAACTGAGGCTTCCAGAGGGCTAGGGGGCAAAGGAAAGTAGAATGGGAGGGGGCACAATGGATCATGATGGAGGACTACAGGTGCTTTGGTAGTGTGGTAACTTACAACCTAAGGGTTTGGCCCTATATCACTAAATCATACACAGTGTTGCTGCAGCAAAAAAAAAAAAATAAATAAATAAATAAGAGAAAAGTGTTTCAGAAGGGTATGACATACAGAAGATACAAGGGCAGAAACGAGGGAGAAAATAGTGCAAAGAAGGAAGGAAGGGGTTCGAGAGAAGAAGAAAATGGAGAAAACCAGAAAGGTTGCTGTATTTTACTTTGCCTTTTAAAGAAGTAAATCACAAGTTAAGCAGCTACTTGGGAAATTAGTTGACATTATCTATCCACTGAGTATTCTACACAGTAAATATGTCACTCATATTTCTTAATAACTGTGACTGTTATACAAAAAGTATTATGAAGGTAGCATGGAAATCTGGAATTGGGGCTTAAAACCATCAAGATACCATCCACCATTTTTTTCCTTAACAAAATTTTGTGAAAGAGCTTCATTAGAAAAAGGACTCAAAACAGTCAGGAGACCAATTCACTTCACCTTTCTTAGTTTCAATTTCCTCGCCTGGTGATAGTAATATTTACTTCTTACTTTCCTAATTAGGCCACAAACTGAGATCATAGATGAGAAAGGTCTATGAAAACCAGAAATGGTCTTCACAGAGTACTAACTGGCTATTTCTAATCATATTCCTACAACAAGCCACATCATTCCTTGTCATTTTTTTCATTTAAAATATGGAAAAAATGGAATCGTTGGCAGGAGTCCACGGGTTGCCTAATTGCCTGGCTATTTGTAAGGATTATAAAGACTTGCCTAAGATAATAAAAAATACCTCTAGTAAAGGGAATTTCCAGAATTCCATTAAATATTAAATCTAATTATAGACTGGGTAGAGAAGGAAAAAGTATGCTAAGAAGGGACTATTGAGATCTCCTTTAATAGTGAAAAATTAAACACTAAATACATACCAGTTTACTTATTTTCTCATCATGCTCTACCTTGTTCCGGAAAGAAACATGTTATCCAAATATGGTATGGTTTTATTAGTATACTCAGAGTTACTCATTGTTTCATTTAGGTACCACAGAGAGAGAAGACAGTATGTACCTAGTAGTTCCAAACACAGGAATACAGTAATCAGTTCATGGCATTTTCCGCTAGGTTTTAAAAGAAAGTACAGTCAACAAGCTGTATTTTAAACTATTATGGACCCCTCTGTTATGATGAGGTGTGCTGGCATGTGAAGATGGCTTATAGAATACTACGGTGGAAAAATGCTCTCCAAGAGGCAAGCAGTTCCTTTACATACTTGAGAAGATCTGAACTGATGTAAGCCCCCACCTATAGTTAAAACTGTAAGTCAAGTAGGAGTTCAATAAGATATTACATAATGAACTTTTGAAATACAGCCAGCCTCAATATTGAGGACTCTCTATGAAATGATCACGACCAAAAAAAAAAAAAAAAAAAAAGGTGCTGTGGAAATGTAGGAGGGAAGAATTACTAAGGTTTGAGGTCATCAGAGCAAATGTAAAAAGTGGAGTGGAGTCTTGTGGGACTGGAGGAACAACTGAAAGGATTAGGAAAATAAAAGATGGAGAAGTGAAGAGCCCTGCAGGTTGGGAAGAACACCTATGCAAAGACAGGGAGGTGGGAATATGCAAATATGATCAGGAGATAGTTAATAAGTTTCATTGGATTTTTGGAAGGCAAGGTTGAAAGCGTGGGTAGGGGCAGAAAGCTAAAAGTTGCATATTATATGCTAACCTAAGTAGTTTAGACTAAAGCCCCAGAGTCCATGGAGAACCACTGGAAGAGACTTTTGCACTAAAGCTATTTTAAGAAATGTCAGTCTTGAGGGAACTTTATGTAGTGGACAAAAATATTGGGCTTGGAGTAGTCAAACATGAATTGGCTGGAGTCCCAACCTCTCTACTAGGGCAATTGTGTAATCCTGGGCAAATTCCTTTACTTCCATGAATTGTACTTCACCCTTCATCTGCAAAGCTGGGATAGTAGCAATATGTACATCTTACAGCTGAGTGCAACAGAATAATGTCTGTCAAGGGGCTGCAAACATTTCTAAGAATAGTAATTACCCAGGAGACTTTAAGAGAAATGGAGCAGTAGAGCAAGAGACGAAGGGTGAGAAAACCAGTCTGGAGCTGTGACCAGTGCAATGATGGGGCAAAAATGTGGGCCTGAAATGGGAAAACAAGGAAGGGAATTCAAGAAGAATGGTAGTGAGAGAGGGGAAGGGGGAAAGTTTTCAAAGTAATCCCAGAACTCAGTCTCATCTAGACGAATAGAGTGGGAGGACCAAAGATAACCAAGGTTTCGGACAGAAACAGAAGTTCAGGAGCTGGAACCATTTCCACAGAAGAGACAGTTTGGTCTCAGAGAAGCTGAGAGGGGGCTGAGACACAGTTCATACAAGGAAAGGGCCAAAAGCAGGTGAGGCAGTGGGAATGCAGCACAAGCCCGCCATGGAACTTTGAGGTTTAAAGAGTTTTCAGTCTTTTTGAGAGGAATACGAATATTTTCTCTGGAGTCAGCCCACTTAATTCTGTATCTTGTTGTGTGATCCTGGTCAAAATGAACTAACTTCTCTGTGCCAAAGTATTACCATCTGTAAAATGGAGTTGAGAGGATTGCTAGGTTTCCCTATCTTAAAGAATATGGTTCATAATTTCTACTTGGTACAGTTTGGTGAAGATTTATATAAAACTATATATGTAAAGCGCATTAGCTCAGTGCCTGGCCCATAATGCATACCCAATAAACTGTAATTATTATTATTGCAGCAGGGAGCATAAGACTGAATCTTGAACATCCACAGCCAAAGTTGGCCAGAGGAGAACATCAGAGGCACAGGAGGTGCAGCAGAGAAAAGGGGAACCTTCAGGGGGCCTCAGGGAGGAGGCTCATTGGAAAAGGTCCTGCAGAGCCGGTCAGGGACGAGGCCTGAGAACAGAGCAAAACTCAGATGCCCTCCTGCTACCAAGAAAGTTAAAAATCAAATTACAGGGTAGAAGCTGGAGTAGATTCCCCAGAGAGCAGGAGAATGAAGTAGACAGACCCTAGTTATCTCCAAGAGATAAAACAATTATGCACTAAGTCCCAAAGCAAACTGGAAAAGCAGGATGGAGGACACATAGAGCAGACAGGTTGAGGAAGAGGAGGATCCCCCTCAGCTGGATTGAGAGCACAGGGAATGGGCCACAGAGTGCTGTGAAGCACAGGGGGAGACAAAGGCACTGCCCTACTGGCCTGGGAAGGGCGGGGTGTGAAATGGGGGGGCTTCTCGGCATCCAAGTCAATGGCAACTCATTTTTTCAGACAAATGGATTTTGTCCAGTGGATGGTCCTAATCTTTTCAGCAACGTAGGCAGCAGTTTAAATGCCATGAGGTGTGTATGAATGAGGAAGATGAAGTACAGGTTGAAATGGCTTGAACTGCTGCTGACATGTACCTGCAGTGTTCTAGGAAAGGGAAGTTAATATACTCAAATTAATTAGCTGTATGTGTTGCAAATACATGCAACAGAACTGTTTTAATGGTACATCAGCCAAACATGTGTTATGAATATTGCATCCCTTTTAAAATCGTATTTTCATGCAAAGATTGAGTTCGCAATATGTAAAGAGCTAATAAAAATGCTGCACACTCTGAGTTCACACACATGTAGTGCAAAAAATATATATATATTTATTAGGGGGAGAGTGTTAGGAAGATTATGAAACTTTAATTTTTCCAAGTGGGGACATAAAAATTGAACATTTATTTTAATCACAATTTTATTTTTAATGAAAAGAAAAATTAGATTCAACATCAACCTAAAGTAATTTTAAAAATTAAATAACTTAGCCTTGTGAAATACTTTCTATGTTATCTGTGTCTTTCTCATTTTTGAAGGTCAAATGAAAACCATTTCATTGGATAGAAACAGTCTGTGGGTCAAGTTTGGATCAATGTACTCAGGCTAATTAAAAGGCAGGAGAAAGTTTATGTAGATTAAGAGGCTCAGAAATGGCCGAGTGAGGGAACCATGTATCACTTCTAAATATTCAACAGCTGATCCACAGTGGAAGCCCACTAACAGGGAACTGTCTGCAGGATGCCATATAGTGGAATTTTGCTGTTTATTGCCAGTTTGTCAAGAAATAGACTCTGCTCCATGGACAAGACAGAACAGCAGAACAGCAGCTGTGCAAGTGTCCTCGCAGAGTCAAGGAGCATGACAGAGTGTGCTGTCCTCAGGGTCCAGGACCCTGCAAGGCCAGAAGGGAACTGGTAATAAAATGAGGTGAGAAGGTGAAGCAGGTGGAAGTCAGGGTAAGGGCAAAACCAAAAATTTCACTAAACACAAAGGTGCAGAAGAACTGACAGCTAAGAACCCCGAATCATTGGAAGGAGAAGGATCTGGAGTCTAAAAGGAAGAAAAAGAGAAGGTGGAAGTAGTCTAGGGGATTGTGGGTGGGGTGGGGTAAAAGTACAGCACCCACAAATCACCACATGTTCCTGGGTTGTTTGCTTTCACTTATTCTGCTGGCCCATGTGGGGCCAGAACTCACCTTCTGCACACCTGTCCATTTCTTCTGAGTCCTGCAGCCAGGCTGCCACTTTGCTCTGGCCGGTGGTACAGGTGGCAGGGAGGCTGCTGCTGCAGGGTAACGGGGACTGCCATGGGAAGCTGTTCTGTTGCACCTACGAGGAACAAAAAGTGACGGAGGGCCTGGTTACACTAAGCAGACACAACCTGTTTCTGTGATTTAAAAAATACCATTAGTCTCAATGTGACACTGAAGAAGAGAAGAAGAAAGGTTGCTCCACATGTGGAAGAAATATCTTGGCTACATGTGCTATGTGCTTAGGGAAGTCAAAATTCATAAACAATACCAACAATCTCATTCAGCTATTGTCTCTAGTAGACAATGAAGGGGATGTACAAGATAGAACATCTCAGAATATTCTATCTTATACTCTCAGGGACCTATCAACTCAAATTCCCAGTCTGTTACAATCTGTAAGTTGCATTTGATCCCGTGTCCTTACTGCAGCACTCTTACCTCGTGAGTGAAGGCCTTTCCTTTCCAACTGCATCCTTATGATCAGCTCAAGGTCTCACCATCAACTTGTGACGCCTAAATACATCACGCACCAGAAACAACCTTGTGATGCTTTAAATGCATATTGAAAAGTATAATACATAAAAAGGCAGTCTTGGAAAGTTATTATCAATGGCTCATAGACTTTGCATTAAAGGGATTTTATGTGAAATAAAGTTGTATAAAGTGTGTAGGTGCTAAGGTGAGAGCACTTAGAGAAAAAAACACTTAGAGAAAAAGCAGAAACTCATTTTCTCAGAAGCTGAAATGATTTTAGAAGGCTACATTTGACTTTAATATTCAGTTACAACTGATTGTATCTCCTTTAAATCACAATGAAATGAACAATGTATATACTTAAAGAACCAGACTTATTTATCATCCACACAGGGCCACAAACCAATTAACAGTCAGGAGCCTCATAATTTGATACTTAGAATGCAACCCAAGTGATAGAAACCTCTTTTCCCTCTTCACTGCAGTTTGATAAATGTAATGGAAATCTTTCACTGAGTTAGATCTTAGAGGTATGTTGCGTGTAACTGGAGTGGTAGATCTTTTCTGAAAATCAAAGCTGAAGAGTTTTCTTTATCTAAGATAAACATTGGGGAGGATTTGGTTTTAACTCTCCATTCTCAGGTATCACCCAAGTTATTTAATAAATAACCTGAGGGATGAGAATAATACATCTTTTACCAACACCCTGTGTCAAAGATATAGGCAGAAGCTAAAAGAACCAAAGCAACAAATATTTACATATTTAAAATATCCTCTTGGATGCATTTTTTGTTTAATTGGTCTAACTCTGGGATTCCTTCTATCCTGCAGTGAAAACAGGTGGCCCAGAGAAACATGGGGACAATCTTGAGCATTTGTGTTTTTTAACCCCTTGACCTCTTGGTTTGTTCTTTCATTTCAGAACTGTTTAGTATTAGGGTTAACGCAACACCCTGTTCTTAGGAGAAATAAGTCCTGGCAAGGCTACAAGCAGATGAAATAATGTAAGGCTTGAGCCCCTTGTGAAATACAATATAAGACTATTTTATTAGTCTTGCAGTTACTCCATGAGTTTTTTCAATTACTTGCAAAGAAAACTTGAATACACACACACTATACATATATATTATATACATATTGATAAATAAGGAAACACAGAAAAGCAAAATCTTCACTTTCTTGAACCCAACATTTATTAACAAACAACTCTGTTCTCAGTATCAGGTGCCAGGTGGGAGCTGGAGCACCCCTGGGCAGTGCATTGTGGTTATGGTCCAGAAAACTCAATTACTGAATCAAAGGCAGAAACAGCTGTCTCCCTGCCTGTTGTCATAACTCTGATTTCTGAAAGACAACACTCCCAGCTCTTCTGTAACACAGAAAACAAAATCTTAATACAGACCAAAGAATAACTTCAGCCTCCTTCAGTCTGGTACCCAGTATTATGGAATGGACACTGATTTTGGAAACAGAGAGATAAGGATTCAGATCTTGACTCAGCTGTTTAATGGCTATGGAACTTCTGGAAAAACATTTTATGGTCTCTGAGATTTGGCTATAATGAAAGATTAGATGTGAAAGAAAGTTCAACACAGTGCACAACCCTCACAATGGCTGGCTCTTGTCATATTCTCCTGCCCACTTTCAGTGACTTCATGAAAAAATTCACTGGTCTCTTCCAAGGTCATATATCTATTACAGCTCAAGGAAAGAAAACAATTTCCCAAACCCTGCAGTCTTCTTGTTACCACCCAGGAAGACATTGATTCCTAGATATTGATTATCCATAGGCTCACTCTTCTTCCTTATAATCCAGCAAACTCATATAAAATTAAGATGTAGTCCATTCATAGAAAAGAAAAGTAACTGTTAATTCTCCTGGAGATCCACATTTCTGCCAAATCTATATATATGATTGATTTGCATGCCAAATGTCACTGTTGTCTTCAGAGGATGAGTTTACAAAGCAAATCTCTTTCTCGTTTGTCAAATGAAAGCTAGCCTCATGTCTGCATAATTTCTTAATCAATTTCTGGGCTTATTTTTATATAACAAAGTCATACCTTCCCATCCACCATAGACACATTGGCAGCTGGTGAGGATTCAGCTGTGGAAGTTGAAGGAAATATGTGAAAACTAGCATCTCGTGGGGATCTCACAATTTCATTCTGCCGATACAATCGATGATGGCGCAGTTTGGACACCCATCCATCAAACCAGTCCTGGGATTTCACCTAAAACAGTAAACAAGAGAAGGTAATGGTGAAGCCAATCTCCTGGTTACCAATGGTATAGGTAAGTGATAGTGATCATGGCAGAGAAACTGCTGGAAAGTGACTTCACCTTCAAGTGATAGATGTGCTCTTCTGTGTCAAGGTCTATTCTCCGAGCTTTCTTTTTAATTGACATAACAGAGAGCCCAACATCGATGCTGCCATGGACCTTCCCTTTTTGAATCTGAAATCAAAAGACTAGTAAGTAGGCTGGAAGGATACAGAATTTGATTTGCCTCTGTATTAATGTGAACTTAATGTAACTTTCAACTTATGTACGGAAAATGGAATACTACACACCAAGCAAACAAGATCAAGGTTCTGAGATTAAGGTGTTTAATCTGGGGAAAGCTGAAGTTGTAGTGACTTCACACCAATTTCAATAAGACTGTTCATCTATTTATTCCTGTATTTGGTATAATATACAATATCAATTATTCATAATTCTAGGTTGTATAGCATACATCCCAAAAAGATACCTTTAGTGGTTTCTAAAAATAAACCATGGTCTATCTTTGAACTATAACCCTTAGAACATCCCGAGTGATAAGCTATAAGACAGCTGCTGGGGCAGAATTAGGCAGCTGGGACCAGAGGGCCCGGAACAACCAGCTCTTGCTTCTGACTGCCCTCTTCTGACCAAGGACATACAGTTAGAAGAGATGAGGACAAAACTGAAACCCAAGCCTCTGTTATTTCCCCTACACTATGATGACAAGGAGGGAATTTTCCAGTTTTGCATGCAAACAACTACTTTTTATATTAAAGAAAAATAATTTGAAATAATTTTATTAAGTTGAGAGACCCAAGCTAAAAGGATATATGAAATAGAAATGAAGCTGATAACACAAATTACAAAAGGACATCTATAAAAGAATAAGGGTTGCTTTAAATCACCAAAGCAAACAAACAACAAAAAAAGGCACATAAAGCAAAGCTTATTGAGAAATGCAGAGCCAAAAAAGCCTATTTGGGTTTCTCACTAACACAGAAAGGGTAATTCCTCTTAGAATGTCACTTTTAGGTTTAAGTTTCTGTTTTTAACAACATACATAACAAGAGTTAAATTAAATCTTCATGTACCAGTTTGCAATTTTATTCTATCTTGAGCATAAGCATAAAACAAACTTTTCATGGAACAGGGAAGTTTGGTAGTTTATTAAATCCTACAAACATAGACATGTGCAAGGCTGGTAACTATGGCACAAGGCTTACATAATTGTGGGGTTTACTCTACTCACTTCAAGCAGAATTCAAATCAACCTCTGAGACATGTCCTGTGTGTTACTTACATCAAGTGGTGCCTTTGAATACTTTAACATTCCATTATCCAGGACAAAAAAACGCTGCAAGAACAAAACAACTCCCAGTTATTGTCAGTATTTAAGTTATATAAAAGAGTCACAAATGTGGGCCTTTATTGCTTGACTTTTATTAATCAACATTTGATCATTTTAATGTATTTGAATTCAGTGCACCCTGCCACCATCAGTCACACTAGATAGTATGGACATTAGAGTTTAAGTTTCATACTAATCCCCTAGGGTTCTTCTATACACAATCCAAGGGGGATGGAGTCTTTTCACCATGTTTTTTCTCAATAGGGGGTTAAGGATAGGGTAGGGAGAGGGATCTCAGGGTCTGACATTTCTGAATGAACCACACTGGGATGTTTTTGAAACTAAGAAATAAGGATATCCTGGGTTAGGTCACCGCACTTCTGAGAGGCTTGTCTATACGGACTTTTTTTTACTCTAAGGTATACTCCTGCATTACCCTGGATACCACAGAAAATTCCTGAAAATGCTCATATCTATTAACAGAAGCCAGTCTATGAATAATGAATTATTTGGAAAGATTAAGAAGTTGCCTTAGTAATATGCTTACATCTCCACTTAGGAAAAATGCTTGCATTTTACTACTAGTAAAAGATGCTAATTAATAAGTAAAAAAGAGAGATTAAAGTAATACTGGAGAAATTATGGGCAAATTTCGTCTTCTCTGAGGTGATCCTAGTTTGGTTTAAACCAATCTAGCCATTTTTACTCCACAAACACTCAGGACCACTTTCCATGTCAATTTACAAGAAAACAAAGAGTTCTCAGACCTCCTTCAAAGCGCCCTCCTCCAAAGCCCACAGATGCAGAGAGGAAGTCATTCTGTTGCTGTAAAGTGGTGTTGCAGTAAGTTTTCATGTGACCCAGGAACTCTTTGCTGCTGAGATGGCAGGTAGTCAGGCCCAGCAACATGGCACAGAGCTCACAGATGGCTTTGTTACAAAAGCTAACTCTTTTGTTACAGGTTAGAGGGTAAAACAAGCAAGCACCAAAGAAAGAATCTCTACAGTTGAAAAACATTTATTACTCAATTACTCATAATTTGGGCAATCAAATAGGCTGATGGTTGAATAAATGATGGTTTAGAGACCAGGAGGGAAGGCAATGCAAAGGAGAGTCTTCTATTTATGTAGCAAAATGTTCATAGGCATATGGGACAGAAAGAGCTGCTACTGAGCCACAGCCAGTTCTGCTGAAACATGGACTGAGAGTGCAAAAGTTAGTGATTCATCTTTGAAAAGCTTTTTTGACCTCTTTGTTCCATTTTTCCATTTCTAGCTGTCAAAGGATTTAATGGGAGTAACCTATAGGATGATCAGAGATTAGAAAAGCCATTGATTCAAGGAAGTGCAAAATGTCAGGGTAAGAACGAAGGCAAAACCTGATTCTAGAAAGGAGTCTGATCAGTTGGCGAAAATTCAAGGAAAAACAAGGAAGAGATTGATTCCTGGAATTGGGATAACACGGATACAGTGGAGACTGATATGGTTTCTGATGAGCAAGAGGTACTATTAGTCAGAATCCTCTTTGACCTCATTGTTGTTTTTTTCCACCCTGAGAGGAAAATAGGGTAACATTTCCATCTATTAATTCTTAAGTCTTTCCACTAAAGTGTAAAATATACATATCATCAAGAATATTACAATGGGGCATCCCCTGGCGGCGCAGGGGTTGAACACTGGGCTGCAAAGCTGCCCAAAGCCTCTGCAGCGCCGGTTTGATCCCCGGCCGCTGGCGAGGGTCCCACATGGCATGCAGACCTCTCCTGCCGCCTGCTGCTCCCCTCAGCAGTGTATTTCGTCAGTCTGCCAGTCTGTCAGTCTGCCTGTCTGTATTTCGTCAGTCTGCTCTCCGCTCTGGCTCTGGTGAATTCTCTCACCCTCCCACGCTTCTGACTGTACCCAGTGCTTGTATAAAAAAATAAATAAATCTTTAAAAAAAAAGAAATTAAAAAAAAAGAATATTATAATGCATAACCTCCCTACTTTGGGCCAATGGGGAGGCACCACATGGCCATATGAGCCAACAAAGCCATTTGCCCTGAGATGAAACCCATTAGCAGATCTGGCCAGTATATGAACCTGCTCTTCCAGTGATTTCAGAGAAGATGCTGGTAATGGATCAAGGGATTTATACAGAAAGTGGAGGACAACTTTCTCCTCCTTAGCACCACAGGATTCTTGCTACTCAGGTAACTGCAACAATGTAGTTCAAAATATTTTCTCCAAAATTAGAACTGGAAGGTGGAACAAGGATGTGGGGTAGGGTAGAAAGGAATAAGCCATATACTTTACAGGCAGTAAACAAACCAAGACCAGCAATTTCCATCTTTAGTTTGCACTGGTAACAAATTCTAGGAATTTACCCCCAAGGAATTAAATACAATTTCATATGTAAGAATGTTTATCACAATATTATAATAGTAAAAAATTTACACACCCTACATATCCAGCAATAAAATAAGAATTGATGAATGATGGTGGCGTATATAAATCCACCCAGTGAAATACATGCATTCATTTAAAAACATCTCATATTTAGGATAGTTAAGAATATATTCATGCTATTTAAGGGAAAAAAGTAGTGTCAATAACAATACATACAACAAACTGGATTTTAATAGCATGTGAAGTATTTCTTTGCATAAAGATCTTGCAGATGTTTTCATTTAATAGGTATAATAGTTTGCAGCCTGTATTGTTAAAATAAAGCCTTGAAAATTAGTTTTACACATACAACCATATTACTGGTTTCCTATCTAATGACATCAAATAAGATTTTCTCTATTTATGAAGATGATTTGAACTCGAATGCGATGAAACTGTTACCTTGTGCCAGCCTTTTAAAGGCCATTTTCTTTTCTTCAGCATAAAGCCTTCATGTTTGTCTGGTCTCTGGACATTGGTTTGGCCTATTTTCAGCCCTTCTATAATTTCCCAGCTGTCAGCTTCCTGAGAGAAAAGAAGAAAAACAAATCACATGTTTCTTAGTGCTTGATGACACACTTAAAGCAGATTCTTAAGTAGAAGTTGCTTTTGAAACAACACTCAACCCACCAGAAGTATGAATAACATTCTGGAGCAAATTCTAACAGACACTTATAATTGAAGTTAAAATGATTTTCAGGTAGATCTGGGGGAATGTGGGCCCATCAGAGACTCATTGGAGATGGAGTTTGGGTAGAATGGAATTTCGATTGCCTGGACTCAGAATTTAAAATGCATTTTTCCAGACAGTTGATTTCTGGACACACAGGCACTTTAAAGTTTGAAAATAATATTGTTTTGATGATAAATGCTCAATTAGTGCATGGCCTTGGCTTTCTGTGTAGAAATGGAAAGGCTACAGTCATTTATGTGGCTTGTAACCTGTTAGCACTGAAGTGCTGTGGGCACCTGCTTCCTCTCAGTTGAGGCTGCTGATTTCAAAGAATGCATGAAATGCCCAGTCCTTCTTGGCAAACACACACCAAGAAGTCCAGGCTTTTGAAGACACATATTTTTGACTGCAAGGCAAGAAACTAGGTATTTTATAAAATCTATGATTTTATAGTCTACACTATCACCCTCTTCTGTTAAAAATGGGCTAAGTCACAGATTCCTCTTCTACCAAGTGTTTAGGTTGTTTAATTTTTTTTTAATGAGTAGTCAATATTTCAAAATCAGAAGATTTCAGACTTTAAAAGTAAAACTTTCTAAATTTTCAAAATTCTTATAAGATCTGGCACCACTGGGTATGACGTGAACAAGGAAGCCTGAGTTCAGTCTGCCCCCGTGGGCTTGGGGCACTGGTGGCTAACTAGACTTTAGCAACATCCTGGGTTTTAAATCCCCTGGATTTGGAGATTTCTAGGGATCCACGTAGCTCAAAGAAACTGCTGGCCTGGTAAATACTCACAGATTGCAGGTATGTGGCACAGTTAAGCAGTGGAGGCTGAAACAAGCAGGTTATATCCCATGTACAACTGCTTCAGTCCTGTCCCCAGCCTAGCAAAGCAGCACCTCTTTGTGGAGCTTCTGCTGCTGCCTCAGCTTTGGAGCTCCACAGATCAAGGCAGACCCCTTGGCAGAATATCCCCCCTCAAACTAACCTGGGAAGTTATGTTCTAGAAAGACATATCCTCTCAGAAATCATCCTCCTACCACAGAACAAAGGCTTCAACAGGATGACCAAACGGGTTCCAGCTCAGGGCAGATGAATTTGCTGAGCCCAACTGGTCAGGCACTGGCTTCCCAGGACCCGCTCAAAGAATGTGAGGTTCTGACAAGACCCAGCAGCAGAGGTGCTTGAATCAGTTACTAATGTCGGCCATGGGGACAGGAAGAGAGAGGGCTGAATACTTATCAACTAATTGTCTTTACTCTTTCTTTCTCCTTTCATCCAGAAGCTGCTTTCACCATGGCCAGTCAAATCTATTGTTAAGTCCAAACATAAAGACACTGGGTGGGATTTTCATAGAAAATTATGCCTCTAAGAGATATGACTGAACACTGCTTCATTTAAACATTTTTTAAGGCAAGAGATGCTCTTGCTTCTGAAAAGTTTGTGAAGTAAGCATCTCGGTCCTGCAGTTCCTGGCCCAAATGACCCCCATCAATGGAAAAGCCACCTGAGACTGGCATCATTTCTTCGTCTTCTCTGTTATCTCTGAGGGGGCCTTAGTGAATGAATTACATACATTACAGAAACACACCTGCTGGTCTTCCTTTGGCAACAATAAGAACCCTTCAAAGGGTCTGTAAATTTCCCATTACATAAAAAAAAACCCTACTAAGTGATTTCCTACTTGAAGATATTATTGTCAGAAATGGATTGATTTGCTCAAAATGTTAATTAGATAAGTGTTTTTAAAAAATGTTCCTGGTAAGATAACTTCAGGCAGTAAAGCAAGATTTTTGGACAACGTAAGTGCAGGTGACAGTGTCACCCAGAGTACAAAGTGCATGCCCTGGCATCTCTATTCTTAAATACTGAGCTGCAATCCAACGAGTGAGGGTAGCTTATGAATAACATTAGAATAACAGGAAAAAGCTGTACGTTCTTAAAAAGGGTCCAATAACTGGTTTTCTACTCCCACCAGAAAAACAGGTAAAAATTTCTATAAAAATGATGCATTTCTGGTCCAACCACTATGGAGAGCTGTGTGGAGATTTCTGGACCTACTAAACATAGAGCTTCCATATGATCCAGCAATTCCACTCCTAGGTATTTACCCAAAGGACACAGAAACATCAATTCCAAAGAGCACCTGCACCCCTATGTTTATAGCAGCACTGTTTACAATAGCTAAGCTTTGGAAACAACCCAAATGCCCAAAAATAGATGACTGGATCAAGAAGATGTGGTACATATATACCATGGAATATTACTCAGCATTCAAAAAAGATAAACACATGCAATTTGCAGCAACATGGATGGCGCTGGAAGGGATCATGCTCAGCGAAATAAGCCAAAAAGAAAAAGAAAAATACCGGATGGTCTCACTCATAGCAGGAATCTAGAAAACTTAAATAAGGGACCAGGAAAATGAATATAAGAAAGTGAAAATCAAAATCAACAAAAAACTATGAACCAGAGATACTTTTTGGGGGGTGGGGGGCGGGAGGGGAAGGATTGGGGTCAGAATGGGGCGTTTGCAATTGTATGGGGGAATATAAAAATAAAATTTAATATTAAAAAAAAAAAAGAAATTTGTCACTGACCCACCATTCACATGCATTACAAGCATAAACTTGTATGGAAATACCTGGGAAAATGCAAACCTATAAATAAAAAAAAAAAAAAAAGATGCATTTCTAGTCCATAAAAATAATGAATTTCTACGCACTTCTTTTTAAAGGCTTAGTATAATCAAGACATTTAAAATAATAACTCTGCGGCCTCCCTGGCGGCGCAAGGGTTTAAGCACCACACTATGAAGCAATTCGCAGCCTCTGCAGCACAAGTTCACGAATTTGATCCTTGGCCAGCCAGGGAGCAACCCACATGGTGCAGCAGACCTCTGCTGCCTCGCCCGCTGCTCCCCTCAGCAGTGTGTTTCAGTCAGTCTGCCTGTTCTGCTCCCCATTCTGTCTCTGGTGAATCCTCTCATCCCCCACAACTCTGGCCTGTACTCCAGCTCTTGTATGCATAAATAAATAAATCTTAAAAAAAAAAAACCTCTGTATATATATGTGTAAATATATTCATTAGAACTCTCTTTGTTCCTAGAGAGATATGAGCTCTATTGAATAATGTTTCTGATGGGGGCTCGGGAGAGTGGGAAGGACACACATAGCACAGGCTGTACGCACGAGCTTTATGACTAATGATCTGTTTTCTTTAATTAAAACTCTTGTTTTGAACTGAGATTCCTGCTCCGTGATGCTGATGCCCAAAGGAATGCTGGACAGTAACCCCTGCAGATGCACCAGGATCAAGATAACCAGGAGGCTGTGAACAAGTTCTGGGGGCTGAACATGACAATATCAGCAACATCAACTGTGACAGGCTGTTCTGATGGGCTGTTTGCTTCTGACTGTTTTTGTTTAACTCATTATAAAAAGGCTAGCTCATGCCATATGATCCAGCAATTCCACTCCTAGGTATTTACCAAAGGACACAGAATCATTAATTCAAAAGGGCACCTGCACCCCTATGTTTATAGCAGCACTATCTACAATAGGTAAGCTATGGAAACAACCCAAATGCCCAAAAATAGATGACTGGATCAAGACGATGTGGTACATATACACCATGGAATATTACTCAGCATTCAAAAAAGATAAATTCATGCCATTTGCAGCAACATGGATGGAGCTGGAAGGGATCATGCTCAGCGAAATAAACCAGAAAGAAAAAGAAAAATGCCGGATGGTCTCACTCATAGCAGGAATTTAGAAAACCTAAATAAGGGACCAGGAAAAAGACTAATTATAATAAAGTAAAAATCAAAATCAACAAGCAACTATAAACCAGAGACACACTATGGAGGGGGGTGGGGGGAGGAGAAAAGGAGGGAATAGGGTCAAAATAAGGGGCGTGGGAATCGTATGGGGAATATAACTAAGGTGAAAAATGAAAAATGATGTAAAAATATATAAAATTAAAAAAATAAAGAAAATAAAAAATAAAAGGGCCAGCTCAATAGGCAATGGCAGAACAGTTTCTTTAGGGTGCTGTGCCCCCTGTTCCCTCAGATCAATGGCCAGTGACCTGAAAAATAGAAATGCTTATAGATTCAATTCCTGTCTGTTTATTGGTTTTGGGTAGTGAGAGGCAGCAGAATCCAGGCCTATTTCCAGCAACATTTCTATTTTTAAGTATCCTATCCATTTATAGCATCTCTAGAAAAATAGCATTTTTATTTTTATTTTTTGCTAGATCTTATCTATTTGAAGGCTAATGCTGTCTTTGATTCTCTCTCTCTCTCTCTCTCTCTCTCTCTCTCTCTCTCTCTCTCTCTCTCTCTCTCTCTCTCTCTCTCGTGTGTGTGTGTGTGTGTGTGTGTGTGTGTGTGTGTGTGTAATATTCTGGATAGCCTGTGAAAATGGAAACATTTAATAGTAAGTACATTTTGAATTTGTTTCTAATTAAACTCAAAATGTAATAAAAACTTGCCCTTGCAGAACTATGGCTACTGCTTTCTATGACAGTAGCTTTTTCTTCCTTGGGAGTTTAACTGCTAGGGTGGCAGTAGGGAGGGATAATATGGAAAAAGTAAAAAGATGATAACTTTTTTTTTAAACATAGATGTGGTAGCTCTGAACAAATAATTCCATTTGCTCTGATGCAATATTATGAAACTCAAAAGAAACTAGAAAGAATCTTAATATAGGTTTTACAGTTAAATAAGTTGTCAAATTGACAAAGAGGCAAAGGATAAAAGAGAGCAAACAATCTTCTTCCTACTTCAATTATAAATGGTGATGATAATTTTACAAATAAGATGTGTAAGAAATGACACAACCCATCTCATTACTTAACACAATCCATCCCTATGCTTAGTAGAGTAGGTTTATCTTAAGAAAGCTGTAATTATTTTCTGACTATTGAAGCTTTTTTATAACTTCAATTGATATTAATTTCCTATTTAAAACAGTCTCCAATTTTTTGTAGGTTTACTTATAGTACAGACAAAGTCAGATTTGACTTGAGTCAGATACACAAGCACATTTGCCATGATAGAAGTTTTAAAATATTTTTGATCTAATAACAGTAGCTAATAACAAACCAAGTCCATTCATTTGAGACATTTCCTTTCTCAAGGGCATACTATATGTGCATATATGCTTGGGAAGAGGTTGGGGATGGTATGTGAATGGAAATGCTTTGGGAGGCAAAAGCTCCAAATAAAGAACTTGAACAAATCCTGACACAGGACAATGTGTATGTCAAACAGTGTTCTTCCGCCACCAACCAGCACCCTAGAAGTTCATCATCTCTCAAAGGGTTGAGAGAAGGTGAGATGCCTTGGTATCTGGCCCCCTGACTTCATGGGGCCTCAAGAGATGTAGTATCTACTAATTTAAAACACAAGAAGAATATTAGTCCTACATCAAGACCCAAGTGGGCAACAACTTGAAGGAGAATGGGAAGTGGAGGTGTTGGTGCCCTCACCAGATCCCTGCATGGGCCTGAGGACCCCAGGCCCGGGCTGCTGGGAACAATGGGAACTGCTCAGGCTCACAGCTCCGTCTATGGGGAGTTGCTGCTTGGCCACTCCCAGTTCCTCCCTCCACCTAGCTAACACTCATGTTCTTCTCATAAGGTAGACCTACAGGAATTTTTTTTCAAACACTGCTCATCACCTCCTTACCCAATGCACCCTCAGCTCCAGTTTAGCCTGTCTCTGTACACATTGCTCTATGATACATTCTTTTCTTTTTTAACCACTTAGCTGTTTTGTTTTGTTTTGTTTTTACTCTGGGCAAGTTTTTAATTCTTTGTCTCCATATTTGTGAAACAAAAGGACTAGTTACATTGCATGGAGCTATAGTAAATGGAAAAATGTATTTAAGCACTTAGCATAATGTCTGGTATGCAGTCTGTGGGCAATAACGGTAATTGATATCATCATCACCATCATCATTGTTATTGCTGAAACTAGTGACTTTTTTCTATGACCTTGGCATAGAAATACTTTTTCAACTTTCCAACAAGGAATCACTATGGTTTTTCTTTAAAATAAAGAGAATTCTGGATCCTTGTATGTAACCCTGCAAATCCCAGAAAAATATGCTTTCATCTATTCCCTTCTTACACAAGGCACAGAAACAAACCCCCTCCAACCACTGTAGGCGAGAAGACATGTGGGCGGCACAGCTGCTTAGGGGAGTCAGGTGTAGGAGTTCTTTACAATTCAGCCTGCCCCAGAACAGACTTTGTGCCACCTAAGAAAGCACCACCTTTCATCACTGACCTTGGCCAAGGGCACCGGCTCAGGTTCAAGCAATTGCCGACTCACAGAGGGCTCGGTGCCAGAGGAAGCAGTCCTCTCCAGTATGTGGATACTCTGAAAATACAAGAAAATTGAGCCTAGAATTAAACAACCCATTTCTCATGTGGCTGGGCATAGGAGTGAGAACCCAGAGATCATAGTAAGAACAGTGAGTTCTGTGAAAAAATGACACACAGCTGATGAGAAGCTATGTCAGGAGAAGCAATTGTCTGAAAATTGTCAATACAGGTTTTGTTTTCCCTCTTTTGGATTTGCTGTGAATGTGTGCTGTGGTGTTGGTTTCAGCCTTAGAGAGTCAGAGAACAGCTCTTGGAAAATGTTAAGACACAATTTTTTTTTTAAAAAAGAAAGAAAGTCTGAACACTTTTACAACTTTATGAGAATAGTACATCTATGACTCAGGCAGTGAACCTTACATAGAAATATTTCCTCATCTCTTCAACAGTAATGGACAAAGAGAAAGGTCTATATCAGGAAAGTCCAGAGCCTCAATACCATTTGGCCTCTAGAGTTCATATAAAAATGTACAGAGAAGAAGCCATATTTATCAAGTATATTAAATAGTAGATGTCTTTTACAAAGAGATAAAAAATTCATAATCAGTAAGATAGCATTCCAACAGAAAAACGGGGAATGTAAGTGAATAGGCAATTCATGTAGAATATAGGAAAAAATGCTCAAGTTCAACCTCAGAAGTATTCAAAAAAATGAAAACCAAAAATCATAATTTTTTTTTTTTTACCAGTCTAATTCAAGAATACTTCAGGGCTGCAGGAAAGGGAGTATAAATTGAGTATGATCTTTCTAAAGAGGAATTTTGCAATTGTATTGAAAGCTGTTGGGCAAAGAAAAAGTACATGTCTCAGTGACCCAGCAATTCCACAGCTAAGTCTTTAAGAAAATAATTAAATTAGTATGCAAAGGTATAAGAACAGAACAGCTATTTTTATCAAAGCACTGTTCATTGTGGTAAAGTATACTTTATGTAAGAATAGTATGGACTTAGAAAAAAACACCACACAGTGACTCAAAATGATAATATGGACCTACATTTATTGACATGTTGTCTGTCAACTGAAAAATCAGACTACAGAAAGTACACAGAATATGATGCTTTTTATATATATATATAAATATGTGTATATATATATGTAAAATAAAAATATTTTCCAGAATGTTAATAGTACCTATATAAAGGTGATGGGGATTCTAAGTGATTTTTAATTTTCTCTTAAATTTTCAACCTTTTGGTACATTCTATTACCCTGAAAACAAGGGGTCTGGCCATAGATTTCTCAAATCCTACCTGAATGCATTTTTCAAATTATTTATTATAAAGAGAATAATTAGGAAGATTTATGAGTTGCTCCTGTTTCTTCAATTTGTGAGGAAGCAGAAGAAATAAGAAGAGATATCTGGGGATCAAATATAAACCTGGACAGGAATTCTTGGCAAGAATTACTAATCTAACAGCCACAGTGTCCGAAGACAATTTAAGTATTACCTGGCCCTGGGCAGATGTGAGAATCCAGCTGTTTTCTACTATGTCAGGGATCAGAGTATACAGGAATGTACATATAACACCATTCTTCTCACTAAAATTTGTTTTGGAAAATTTTTTAAAATAAAAAATGATATTTAGGTTGATAGAGGGTCTACAGTTACTTTTAAATAAATAAGTTTTAAAAATTTCTGACATAACAACTATTGATAGATATAACCCACATAAACAAAAACTCTGAAGTCTTCAATAATTTTTAAGATTGTAAAGAGTTCCCAAGACCAAAAATTGGTCCTCTAGACTGCTGTTCTAGAAGAACTACTGTTAAAAATTCGGGTTTATTATTGGAATAGAGAATTCTGACTTGCATATAAGTTATTTCCTTTCTCATAATGCTTCAAGGAAAAGCATTTTCAGAAAAATAAATGCATTTCAAAATTTATAACTACTTAATCCACCTTAAGCTAAATTATATACATCTACTCATTAATAGCTCCAAACTACCTAAGAGGAACACAAACCTTGTTTCATATGCTGCACAAACACATCTTAGCAAAACTTCAATAAATGTAAATTCTATGAGGGTAAAAAACTGTTAAAAAAAGGTGTTTTTTAAATGTGTGAGTTGATTTTTTTAAAAGAATTACTAGCAATAAAGATATATATAGGCATAACTATATTACAGATGTAAAATGCCTCCAGCTTGCCCACAGCAAACAACTTTATAATTTGAGATAATTTCCTACAGTAAAAGTTGTTTCCATGATATGACTTTCAAAAATCAAGAAATGAAACCATTTAGAAACTACAATTTTTGTACTAAAAGTTTCAGAAAAGTAAATGTAATGAAGTAGAAGACCAGAAACTGCCAGTGAAACATGTCATTCATTCATTCACTCACCCATTGGTTCAATTAACCAACAAATAAATATTTGGCACCTATACTGTTCCAGGTGCAAACAATAGGGTGATAGAAACAAAACAAAGAATTAGTCCTATTATGCTCATATTCTAGAGAGAGATGTTATCATACAAAAGACCAAGTAAGGCTGAGTGAATTCTGTAACCCTGCTTTTACTTGATTTTTCTAATGAAATATCTTGGTCTGGACTTCTCTTTAAGAACTCTCCCCTATTTTCATGCCAGCAAGGTTGCTGAGCAATAAAACACACATACATCACTTCCCTCCTCCTCTTGGTCAGAAAAGCAAAACATGGAAAGAAACTTGATCTTAGCAACTGTATAAGCAAAAAATAAAGGATTAATTCTAAGAACTTAGCCTGGAGAAGGAAACTAAATCCCTTAATTTCTAAACCTAGCCACATAAACATCAATTTAGGATAAAGTGTGCTTAAAAATAATTTTTGTCTCTATAGATACCTGAGGCTACTTAAAATGTTGCCAGAATTTTGTTGATGAGAATGGTTAGAGAACAAACAAATCAGGCCAGAATCTGTAAAATATTTACCACAGAATCTCACAAAAAATACAATATTGATTCCTTCATTTTATTTTACAGAACAATTTATACTATTGGAGAAAATTACAGGTTCATTGGTTTCAAGCATGGTTTAATATAGCACATATTCAACTGAGCGAAAAATCCAAACCTCTTATTTTGTTAATTTGCCAAGGCACAGAGAATTATAAAAACATTTACTAAGAAATATTAAGTAAAATTAATATTTTTATTATCACAAATATATATTTTACTGAAAAGTGAAAGCATGATTTATAAAACTACTAGCTGATACACATTATTACAAATATAAACTGACTTTAAAAAATAAAATCTCTCATATCCAGATGGTGTCACTTATATGTGGAAAATAGAAAAACTGAAGTGTCAGACAAAGACCCACTTTAAAACCAACCCTTCAAAACTGACCATAGATCTTTGGCTTTCAGAGGAGGAAGAGGAGGAGGAGGAGGGAAAGGGGTGAAAACAGGGTGTAGGGGAACACAATGGGCTATGGTGGAGGACTATGGGGCTTCACTGGTGGGAGGTTACAGTGACTACACAGTAAGTGGGGTGGGGAGAGGGAATCCTGTAGTGTCAAAACAAGCATAACAAACTTGCTATATATACAAGACAAGTATAGCAAGGATATAAAATAATGGTACTTCAATAACATAAAGCTCCATAATGAAAATGAAGAAACTAAAAGCTCTTATAGAAACAGTCTAGCCTTATATTTATGTATATTATATAATATATTATATATATTTTTAGAACTTAACTATTATTGTCTATTCAAAAATAAAACATAAATCCACTATCTTAAGAATTATCTTCAAACTCATGATTTTTAAAACCAAAAGCATACCCCTGAAATTATATAATTACACATATAACCATTCATTCTTTTAAATGAAATATCCAAGTATTTGAATGCTATTTTTAAAAACAAAACTGTTTTCACTGACCATACCCAGCCTGAGACTCTGGTTAGACTGGGTGCTGCTTGAAGGTAGGGGCCAGTTTATCTTCAGGTGGCATCTCGCCCCCTCCCAGCACAAGACCCTGCACTTAGTAGCCAGTAAAAATATTTTTCCATAGCCAGAAAAAAACTGAAAGCTTTCAATGCTCTCTGATTAATTTGTAGAGAACAGTTCCTAAGCAATTATTAACACACGATTAGGCATAAAACTGCCTTCTAGCTTATGTTGGAATTTTAAGAATCACAGCTCCAACTGGACAGAACTTTTGAAAACACTGAAATGGTTTAGCTTTTAAACCTGAAAAATCTAGTGGACTGCTCGCATGCAGAGCATTTGCTCATTAGATTTACAGCTATGATTTTACGTCACATTTATTTTGCAATTTAATTTCCCAATCTATTCCGAGAGAAAAGTCATTCTTTTCATAAGATTTCCTTCCAGATCATAATTTGTACAATAACTTTTCTTCACAAGCTATTTTCATATTCCCCCACAGTGACTTGAAGGCACATAATATGGTGTCACACGTATTATACAAGCAGGTTAAATAAAGGGTTACACAGACCTGCTAATCATTCTTTTAAAATCAGTTTCCTCTCAAATACTATCATTTCAACTTAATTTCTAGGTCAGTGTTTTCATAAAGACTTTTTTTTTTAAAAGCAGTATTTGCTTTACTCCCACAATTGAGTGGGAGGTACAGAGAGGTTCTGACACCCCTTGCCCCCACACATGGACAACCCTCCCCTATTAGAAATATCCGCCCTCCCCCGCTCCCCTCCCAGGAGGTACAATTGAGACCACTGATGAGTCAAGGTTCAGTCCAGGTCAATTTTCAAGGAACTTAGAACACACAGACAAGGTGAAAGTACTTACCCTCCCTTTGATCCCCCTGCTCAGAGAGAATGGATGCATATTTAGCTCAAAACCAGGAGCCTAGACCACATAGTTCACAGTGGCTCTTGAACATGGTAAAAGTTTATCCCAGAGTAGTGTTCACTGATCACAATACCTCCTGGGCAGCAAGTAGAAATCTGCTAACAAGACAAAGAGTCTGGTTCACTCAGTATCAAAGATATGAGTAAACAGACCAACAAGGAGGCATTTAACA